TTGATGGAAAACAGTACACTGAAATGACTATAAGAACACAACCTGGTGACGGTTGACCCCTGCTGATCCCTGTTATTGAGTCCTCACATTTCCAGTGGTATTAGATGAGTTGGTAATTTTCCTTTGAAAATTTTGAGATGAGGGTTTCCTCTCCACAGATTAAAAAATCTAATTTATTTTTGACCAAAGTGAAAATATATGTATTTTTAAAAAAATCTTCTTTTTGTTTGTTTTATTTAAAGATCTAAGGCTCGGGATGCTTCACATTGCCAAACCTCTGTTTGGGGTAAGCCTCTGAAACATTGTTTTGAGTGGCCTATAACCCCATGGTGTGAATTACTATCCAAATTAAACTGCAGATGTTTTCTTCTTAATCATCATCTTTTTTTTTTATTATCTTTTTTTTGCCGCTAAAATATGTACATTTGAGTCAAGCTGGAGTATGCTGAGAGTTTTCTTCTTTTTTCACAGGCCAACAAGGGCAACATAATTCATTTGATTTCTATGGGAGAGATTTTATTCAATCAACATCACTACTAGTGCATGGTAAGTAAATTGTTATCTAAAAGAATTTTCTGTACTCACCTTGAATGTTTTGTAACTGTTTCGGATAAAAGTGTTGACTGAATGTAAAAAGTTCAGATCTTACATATAAATTATATACAAGGTCTTCATTTAAACATTCTGAGAAACTATTACGTATCTCAGCCGTACACTAGGTTTAACAATCACTGTCCTTAAAAATCATGTGGCATGAAACTAAATTATACTGCTTCAAATATCATCTTTTTGCACCAAATATTCAATATAATGTCTCTCGTGGTAATACAAAATATACATCAGGTCAAATAGCCAACATTCTAACTGTACAAGGTTTTTCAGTAAAAAAGATGATTTAGGTTTATGTCATACTTCAATTTTACATGTGATACATCAAGACGGCTAGCCTCAACAACAAAGCTGGGTATGGAGCTGGCTGAGGAAATATCAAATTCAAGTCTATCAATGCCATCTAGTGGATAGAATTGGCTCCCTTAAAAGCAGGACTTGCTATACCTTTTCCTGTTTGCACAAACAGAGCATATCAATGATTCTTTGATGTTATATACAATATGGTCAAAAGCAGTCATGAATGTGATTTTTCCTTCAACATGTTTGAGAACTGCCCATTCCTTTGCAATTAAGGATAACTTCAAAAAGATGTATTTATGAAATGATCAGGATTTTTAAAAAACCTGCTCTATGCCTTAAATTTATACTGACTGAATGCTTCTCCAGAAGACTGTTACATCAACACTTTCTCTCAAATGGAAGGCCACAGTGACGAATTAAAAACAGCCCTTATCAGAGCATAGTAAAACATGCATGCACGTATTTTGATCATTCTCAACTTATTTACAGAAGTATCAAGGTTGAGTTGCTGTCAAACAAGAGAAGGTAATTAGCCCTTTATCACCTTAGTTGACAGTTGGTATGAGGCGTTTGGAAGTTGCGTGTGATAGATGCTGTTTTTCCTATTCTCCAAACTTGCTGCTGTGCATTATCAGCAAACATCTCCACTTTCTACTTGTCTGCCTATCTGTTTAAAGGACATTGTCTCCCTACATGCTACTTTAAAAGAATAAGTTTTCTCCTCCAATTATTTAAAACACGTTTTACCAATATGCTGTCTTTTAGAACTTTAATATTGAACATCCTAACAAAGGCTTGAAGAGTCAGAGATGTAGCTCTCATGTTCCTGGTCCTAAAACAAAGACAACCGAGATGAAAATCAACACTGGATGACTGCGATCAATGGACAATCATGATTCTGTCAGTGAAATCTGTATGGGCTCATATATACTTTCAGAAATCATAGTTTGTGAACATCATCGAATGCATGCTTAAGGATCATCATATAAAGAAGAGACCATATGATAATAACGGCTGTGTTCTCTGGACCAAATATCCTAAGAAAGAGACAATGTAAACAAAATGGAAAACTGTCCTTGGCCAGACCAATCAAGTTTGATATTCATTTTTTAAAAGCAAAGGTACTATACGCTTCCGATCTCAGAGGAAATAAGCCTCTTGGTTTTTAATTCAGCAGTCCAAAATTCAGAATCTCTGATGGATTGGAGGTGTATTACTGCCAAAGCAACCAGAAACTTGCACACAGGGAGAAGGATCTATCAATATTATTCTTGCATTACAACATTTTCTTTAGGGAAGGCTTTGCATGTTTCGGCAAGACCATGCTATAACAACCGCATGGTATCACAGTGCTGCAATAGCCTGCCTGCAGTAAAGGATTTTAGGAACTGAAAATAGTGTGAGCAGCAGAAAAACAGACAAAAGTCCAGCAGATCTTTTTTGAGGTGTGTTGCTGCCATCAGATTTTCAATTAAACAACATTTTTTTCGAGAATTAACTAAATAACCTTCACTTCTGAAATAAAACATTTACAATAGAAAATTATTGCACTGACTTATTCACACTGTTCTAACTTTTTTTCTTTGGAGTTTGGGTTATAGTCTTTTGGCATTCATACAACTTACAGATATGATATAACCAACACTGCATCATATCAGGTGATGTGACTTTTAGATCTGATAGTAAGACGATTGTTACGTAATGTTTGCACTCCCCAGTGAATATCACAGTACAGAAAAGAAAAAGGTGGATGAAAAACATAATTATGGAAAGAATATTGCCCCTTATACTTGATGAAATCCAGAGGAACAAAACACAGTATTTGTTATAAAGGTTAATGTAAGAACTGAGAATAAGTGCTAAGTTTGTCCCAAAAAAAAGGCTGCTTCTCAGATATCTAGACCCACATATCTGATACATTAAGTGAATGTGTTCAATTTGAAGTTTGAAGGGTTTTTTTGGATCCCAAGTGAACAACAAAAAAAGAAGGCAGAGAAAGAAAGTGCGAAGAGATAAGGGGCCACTTGGCTCTTTTCATGTCATAAGATACAGGGGTAGATGGCGGCAGAGGTAGGTAATAAGGCGACAAATGCCCAGAGACACAAATCCACCACTTGAATTTTTCTTTCATTTTCAAAGTAAAAAATGCATTACCTCCCAGGCAACCTCAATGGGCAGAGATATACCTGAGGCCACCTGGATCCCACTCCAAAGAGTTAGCCAAGACAATTTCCTTTAAATCACCTGCTATCTTAATCTGACAGCCAGACTCGATTACAAGGCGTAAAAATTGCTTTTCTTGCCACTAGCAGTCGTTGGAAAATTATCTTAATTGTGTCGTGATTATGCCTCAAAGCTCCGGTGAGAGCTTTACCACGCTCATTCAAACACAGGAGTGCCTTATGAGTGTTGAAAGTGCGCCTGCTCTATCAGCTCTCAACCGGAGACAGGATGAGAGGAAAGTATATTAATCTGTGCTCATTTTCTGTCAGTGTAAGAGTTTCACAAATATGTGCTCACCTGATACACAGAAAGGGAAGTAAGTTCTAAATGACTGGTCATCTGTAAGAATAGTCAATTATAAGTTGATCTGATTTTAGGAACAAACTTAACTAACGGAGATGAAAATAGGGGTAGATCAGTCATCCTATCATTATGATAATTTAGGCTAGTGGTTTGACAATTGATGGTTCAAGCTTCTTTCATGCACTGTGCTGTAAATTGAATAGAATGGGGTTTTATGTATTAATCAGATAAATCAAGCAATACAAATACATCACCTCGGGCTATGACCAGTCATAACGAACATTCATATACAGTCTTAAAGTATAGAAGAGTATTCAATTATTAACCAAAATAGAATCAACAGGATAACTGAAAGGAAAACACATTAAGAAGGATAGAGTTGGTACAGATACAGTACCTGTCAATTTTGACAGACATTAATCAAATTAGATATTTTTGAAAGAAGAATCTGATCCATGTAATCCTGTGGTTCTGCAGAATTAATATTCCGATTATCAGTAGAGCCGAGTTGTTAATTAAAATCGTCTAGTCAAATGAAGAGGTAGCAAGGCATGTGACAGGAGCACAAAAGGTACATCTTCTTCACAGAACTGGTTGTTTCAATCTCATCTCCTGTCTTGGATAAGCGTCTGTGTTGTAAAGGCCTATTATATATATGTTGTGTTGGTTATTGTGGCGGATGGAACTATGATAAAGACCTTGGGTTTCATATTTGTGTATGCACAACTTTTTCTGCAGGTGAAGTCGTTTTGTGTGCGTGTTTGGTAACCGAGTAATAAATTTGCACTTTAGGTTACAGTGATTCATTTTTATCTGACTTTCTTTTGGTTGAAAGTCTGAAATTTGCAGCTTAAGCTTCCAGGGTGTTTTTTTCCAATGGATTTGAATAATCACTAATGGAAAGTTACTTGGCAAGGAAACGAGGTAAAGATCAAGAGAGACCGATCAAGAACATGCAGCTAAACGTCCGAAGTCAGGACTTAAAACTCAGGATGGCTATATCAAGAAGCATGGGCCTCTTTATATAGGAGGGATACTCACCTAATTGAAGTAACCAGTGACTTACTTCCTTTTTTCAGTTTGAAAACCGATGTGTTTTCATTTAATTGTACAGGACAGATTTCTTTGGTTCATCATGTGTAGGATATTTCAAGGATGGGACTGCCCCCTTTTACTGACATGTGTTCAATAAGTGAAAGGAATAAGCAAAGTGCAGTGTTCACAACTGCTTAGGTTGCTTCCCACATTTAAAAAACATTTGTATTTATTTTTTTAAAGACAAATGGTGAATTGTTTTTTCTGCAATGCTTTGTCTGTCTGCCAGAGTCTTTTAAACAATGGGGTAAAGGAAAAAAGCATCCTAAAGTTTCTGAACACTTAAAGTGATTGCGACAGTGAGGTTATTGACCTGTCAAGTCATTACAAGCTTGAGTAAATATATTGGAGGTGTGACTGATGCTCATTTTGTTTGATTTCATGACAGATTTGTAATGAATAACTTTATGAAACCATGCCTCACTTATTTGATATGATTTTCTGCTGAAGGACTCAGGACCCACACCTGAAGGTTTTCGCATTTTTATTGACTTTTTGGACCATTTTTTCCAGTGTCATCCATTACCGTTCACTTCAATGGTATTTGCATATTCTTTCATTCGACACTAGGAGGATATAAACCAAGGTAGGTTGATCAATCAGCTTAACAAGCCAAACTTGCACTCCAAGTAGAATTTTACTGATAATGATAACTGGGGGAAAAAAGGAATACAAAAATAAAATGGTTCAAAAGCTTGAAAAGAAAAAGGGGGACGACAGGGAGGTGACCCCTCCAGCTGTCCATTATAAAATGCACCTCTACATCATCACTACCTGGTTTGTATCTTTCTAGTTTGTAAGGCTGATAAGGGGAAAAAAAAAAAAAAAAAAAGAAACCAAAAGGGTCCTTGCTATTGAACAGAACACTCTGCATAGCAATCGGAAGACAAAGGGACTGGACACTGACCCAATGCAGAGGGTGAGTAACACAGGACATCACTAGACAGATAGTTGGCACACAATGGGCTGCTGTTTTGCTCACAAACAGTTTTTCTTCTGTAGTGATTTACTTGGATGTTAAAAACAGTTCAATCAACAATTAGTGTGAGGATTGATGCGTTGGAGCTCTATGCCTAGTGTTGTAGAAGGTTTCATTTTGACATGCTCTCCAAGCATCTGGCAGTTTAAGAGGGTACCATTCTGCAGTGGCTGAAAGTGAGCTGCTCCTCTGTACAGTTTTACCAATTCATAAGGCTACAAGGCAGACTCCACTACTTGATCATATTAATAAAAAGCAGTTACAAGCAGATGGGGCGACATTACAGAGGACAACCACTACTGTATGCTTTGGGGCTGAATGAAGATTTTCACTCAGCTACATGAATAAAGCAGGAAGGGTGCTAAACAGCTCGTCTCACTGGTCAGACACCAGGTCTGAATAGTAGGGACCCAGTTCCTTTCGCCCCTCCCGCAAAGGCAACTAAGATGAGGGCAGCTCAAATAATGTGATGTCCGGTCACCACAGTTTGGTATAACAGTTCAAACCACTATGAATTGTTTTGAAGATGAGTCTGTTGTAGACAGTTTAGACTCAACTACAACACCTGTAACTTTTTAAGCATAAGTTTGTTTGTTTTTTTCTTTAATGCAGATACAAAGCTCACAAGTCAATTACAGTATCTGAAAGCACTTGTAGACTGATGACTGGAGGGGTAGACCAATAGAGAACAGAGAAGGATGATATTCTCAGAACTGAAGACTTCTAGGGACAGCGGTCAGTCCAGGTCAAAGAGGGGGGCAATAAAAGGGAGAACTGTGACTGGTTAATCTCTGGCCCGCATGGAGATACGTGCCTTAGAAACGCTTGGGTCCCCAAGGTGAGGTCTTTGTTGCTACTGGGGCTCCAAAGCTGGGGAAATCTTCAGAGCTGCTCATATCAGGGGCCTGGCGGTGAAAATAAGGGACATAGTTTTTGTTATTAGAAAAAAAAAACAAGGTGTGACAAACCGCAAATTTTAAACTTTGTGGATAAACTCACCTTCTCATTGCCTGTGGCCCAGGGAGCCTCCCTCACCACAAAACCTTTGGATGGGCCGCGTTGTTCATCCATCGCAGCAGAGCTTCCACTGGGTGGCCTCATGTAAGCCATCTTTGCCTCATTTTCAGCAACATCTACCATCTGACATAACATAATGTGTAAGTTTTGAGTGGGAAACATAACATAATTGATGCAAAAAAAAAAGGGGTCTTACATATTCCTCTTCTAGGTTCAGCAGATGGTCAATAGCCTCATCCACAAGCTCAGGGCGACCGATGACCGTCACACGGTTTGGGTCTGCAGCTCCACTCTGGGGGAACCTGAGATCCACCTGAAACGATGAATCCCGTCACACGGGATATTTAATGATGAGATACAGAAACTGAAATCAAACAAATGGCAAACTAAAGAACCAGTTTGATGAAGAGGCTGAACCGGTCATTTTAAATCAGCTGCTTTCTTCCCCCCTACCCCTATTATTTTGCCTAAACTTAACCAAGTAACTGCTCATGTGGACTGAGAAAAGAATATCAGAACATAAAGCTCACATGGTGGACTTATCAATTTTATCCTATATCATACACTCAAAATTTTCAATCTTATACCACAGGACATCGTAGACGTTGCCTGAAATATTAAATGTTTTCAGGAAAAACGGCTCTTCCTCCATCCTCACACCCAGTGTGTCAGAATTTCACACCCCTCACCTTAAACTCATCCATGATCTTGCGGATGCCCTTGCCACGAGCTCCAATGATGCGGGCATGGATCCTGCTGTCCAGGGTGATGTCCTCAGAGATCATCTCTTCCAGCTCATCCACAATAGCCTGAATGGCATCTCGTGCAGCTATGGCTTTGTGCTCATACCCTGTAATAGTAATCTGATCCTGAACAGTAAGGGGGTGGGGAATAAAAACAATTAAAAGAGACAGGTGAGGGTGGGTGGGTAATGGGTATGATGGAGAGGTTGGAATTTAAGCACCACTGCAAGTTTTGACATGTAATGCTAGGAACCGATTTGTCTCATCGTATCCAAAGAAGGTGCTTTATACCTGGTTTTCATCATTCTTCTCTGGGAACTGGATGTTGACATCATGCTCGGTACGAATGTTTGTAATAATGGCACCCTTGCGGCCGATGATTTTGGGATGATACTTGGGGTCCACAGTGATGGTCAGCTTGAAGTTCCTGAGAGCCTATGGTAGATTAAATTCTTAGATTAAAGATTATATTCCTTATATACGCTTTTCTGCTTAAGTTTTATGACAAACTAAAAATAACATAAAACCTCCCTCCTTGTCAAAACAGTTAAACACACTTCACATTTTATGTTGTATAATAAAGTAATGATCTTAAGTGAGCATGTACGTTTTTCTTTATTTTTTATATTAAATACTAACCCGGTCCTCCTGCTCAGCCAGCAGCTCCTTGACTCGCTCCAAGAGGCCTTCTTTGGCACGGTCAAGGTGACTGGCCAAGCCAGTGATTGCAATTTTATTTGACTGCTGCTCAGGAGCAGGCACTTGAATATTTACCTGAAAGCACAGGTCATATCAAGCACAAAACTAAATAAACAGAACTCCTCCCGTATACCTATGCCGCATCACATACCTCAAATTCATCCATCATCTTGCGAATTCCACTTCCTTTCTGACCAATGATGTATCTATGAAGCTCAAAAGGCACTTCCACCTCAACAGTGACCGGAACCAAGGCCTGCAGAGAAAAGATGGTTAGGAATGGGGATGGTGAAGAAAAAACAAAACAAAAAGAGAAAACACAACAACTATAGACAAGTAAAACTCAGTTTTGCTGGTAATCAACCTTCAATGCTTCCATGGCAGCTTCACAGCGCTCTTTGCGGCCAGAAATCACAATCACGTCACACTTTTTGGGCACATTTGGATCAACTGGTTCCTTCATTTCACCGTTCGCTTCTCCATTTTCTTGAACAGGAGCCTCTGCAGGAGGAGCAGCGGCTTTTTAAAAAAACAAAACAAAAAAAACATTAAGTTTACTCTTCATTGCACCATGAATACACAAAGAAAGACAATAATTTAGTTGAAACAACTAAAATATTTGAGATTCCTCAATCTACTTTTACCTTGTGGGTCTTCACGCTCTGGAAATTTGATCTGCACATTATGATCTCTGGTGATCTGCTGAATGCGTGAGCCTTTGGGTCCCATGATAGAACGGTGAAACTTTTGAGGAATCACACACTCCATAGTCACTTGAGCTTCCTAAAAGATGAGTTTAGAGTTACATTTCAATTACCACAGACAGGTAACTTGTCACACAAATAGATCGATAGCAACCATAAATAAGACATTATATACTGACCAAGTCCTCAATAATCTCCATCATGCGCTTCTTTGCAGCCTCCACGCATTCTTTGGCTCCTTTGAGGGTGACCTTTTCGCTCTGCAAACCTGTTCGAGGGAAGCTGACCATGACACCACCGTACTCGTCAGCCAGTTCCCTGAGGACTTGACCACGGCGAGCCACAAAGTGGCGATGATACTTGGGGTCAACGGTCATGGTATCCTCCACAATGTTGTCCTGTAATATAAAAGTCAACATTTAAAATTCAGGAGATGTTGAGGTTTACCTTTTGCATAACTTTAGCTTTCGCATATAGCTTATTTCGAGCCTCACCAAACTCTTGATCAGTTCCTCCAACTCTTTCTGGGCCTCCCTCACCGCTTCCTCTGTTCCAACCACAGTGATCAGCTCTTGGTCTTTGTCATCTGCAGTGGGGAAGATGATTCTGGCCCCGGTGCTGTCACGAACCTTACGGATGTTTCCGCCACCTTTTCCAATGAGAAACTTGTGATACTCTGGCTTTGCATGTAGCTCAGCAGTGTGACTTTTTGTTTGCTGGAAAAAAACAAACAAAAAAACAAACAAAAAAAAAAAAAAACAATTCAAGTGATCGCATTACAAAAAAAAAAGTTCCCTTTTTGCAAAATGCAAGACGCTGTAATGTTTCACGGAAACATCAAATCATGATCAATTGCTTTACTGGGCTACACATTAGCCAGGTCTGCTGAAGTCAAAACATTTTACAAACCTTTTCCTCTGCCAAAGCAAGCAGCTGCTGTTTGGCTTTCTCCACCTCCTCCACAGGGCCTCTGATGGTGACTTTATCGATCCCTGAGCCCTCTGTGGGGAAGTGGATGTGCACACCACCACACTCCTCCATGATGGAACGTACTAAACGGCCTTTTGACCCGATCAAGGAGTTGTGCAACTTTGAGGGTATGGAGACATCCATTTCTGTAATGTTTGCCTGGATGCAGTGAGGAAGCAATTAAGCAAAACCAGATTCAGATATAAATAATCCAAATCTAGAGACACTGGATACAAAAACACTCAAACACAAATATTTTACCAGTTCCTTCTGAATGGCCAAAATCCGGTTTCGCGCTGCCTCACAATTTGCCTTCTTCCCCGTGATGACAATCATTTCAGAGTTGCTGTTCTCAGCAGGCAGGTCAATTTTGGTGTTGGTTTCCTCACGAATCTAGAAAGAAGAGTGGCATGGTAAGAAAATAAATAGCAAAATAATAAATAAAAACAAAAATCCAACATTAAACTTATGGCAAATCACAGAATTCAACATTATTGTATGAGGTACCTTCTTTATATTTGATCCTCCTTTTCCAATTATGTTTCTATGAAATTGCTTGAAGATGGGTACAGAGACAGAGTGGCTGTTCTCCACCTAAAGGAAGAAGTCACTGAAGGTTAATACATCTACAAATTTTGTCTGTGCCTTAATGTATTCCAATAAAACTATTTAAAAAAAAAAAAAAAAAAAAAAAATGTTTAAAGAGACTCAAATTTAAACATACCATCTCAGCCACCATCTTCTGCATAAACTTTGAGCATTTTTCAACCTCAGTTCTTGGGCCCCTAAGTTGAACAATATCACTTTTCTGCGCTGGGTCAGGAAAGTTGATGATGACCTGGAGAAGGTAAATATTTTTAAATAAAAGAGATCATCAATAAATGACAGTTATAAAACAGGGTTCATGAGTCAAATACCAGTCATTTTCAACTCACCTCCGGAAATTTGTCGCGCACTTCTTTTATCTTTTCTCCTTTTTGGCCAATGATTGCTCTGTGAAAACGCTGTTCAATAATCAGGTCCTTTGTCCGCTCATTCTCCTGCAAAAAGGCATGACATTAGGCTTACATGATGCCATTTACAACCTTGTGCTTATGTACTCAAACTTATACCAACCATGCGTGACGCAAGCTCCAGTAGCTCTTTCTTGGCCTCCTGTACACCTTGGGGATCCCCCTCAATACGGATCAAGTTGCTCTTTTCGTTGTCAGGGGGGATACGGACAGTCACCTTGTGAAGCTCTTTGATGCGGTTGACTAAAGATTTAAATGTAGACATTTATATAGTTTGTTTTACAGCTTCCACCTCTCACAGTATACAATAGTGATATTACACTTACTGTTAACGCCTCCTTTTCCAATCAGATGACGATGGAATTTAGGATCTACGCTAATTTCTGTGTAGTCCATTCGGCTTACCTGTTCAAGCAAAACACACATTTTAAGTCAATAACTTGGATGATAGTGCAAATGACCGTTTTTTTAAAAACATACTCAACAAAATAATGCTCACCAAATCTGTTACAATGGTTTGAATTTGGCTCTGCACCATTTGCACATCCTTGGTTGGACCCTCCAAGGTGATCTTATCCTCACCCTCAGTGAACTCGATGTGCACCTATGGGCCGATTCATTAAAAACAACAAAAATCTTGAAATTCGGACCAAACTAAATCAAATTAAAATAATTTAAAAAAATACAATAAATTCTTAACAGCATTATTATTAAGAAAATTCATACCTTAGGCATTTGTTGGGTAATCTTTGCCAAGTTCTGCCCCTTCTTGCCAATAATGAAACGGTGAAGCCAAGATGGAGCCATAACCGAGGAAACAGTATAACTGTTTGCCTGCGAAATTACATAAAGATTTTGGAACATTTTCCCTTTAGCTTCTTTTACATTGAGTAGCACTGTTGATTATCAGATGCAATTTTACCTTGGCATAAACTTCGGTGAGAGCCTGACCCAGACGGTCTGGCTCCCCACGAAGGATGACAGTTTCTGAGCTGCTGTCAGAGGGTGGGATCTCAACTGAGACACCAGTTCTTTCCAAGATCTCCTGCAGGGTGTTTCCCTTGGGGCCAACCACATATTTGTGCTGAGACTTCTTCACCTCCACTGCAATAGTGGTGGTATTCTTCTTCTACAACACAGAAAAGAAAGTTATTTAATCATTTTATAACTGTAAAGAGTAAACTGTTATGTGTGATTATAGCCAGCCTCATCTCCATTGATATTAAATATTTGGCATACCTTCTCCTCATAAATCTTTTTGATCAGAGTCACAGCAAGGGCCACCTGCTCCTTTTCCCCAGTGATGACAATCTCGGTCTTGTTGACACTTGGAGGGGGAACATTGATGCGGGCACTGGTCTCCTGCATCATCTCTCCTACCAGCTTATTGTAGGCACCAGTGATGAAGGGGTGGTACACCTTGTCAATGTTCACCCTCTCTACAGCACGTTTGTCCTGCAAGAGTAAAGTTCATTTTCAAAAAGTTAATGTGCAATGCCGGAACAGTGTCGCAGTAAACAAAACAAATTCTTGAAATTTTGGGTTAAGAGATGTCCCATCACCTGCTCAGCAGAGATCAACAAGATCTCGTGCTTCGCCTTTTCCAGGCCCTCCTTAGTACCAGAGATCTTGATCTGGTTGCTGGGGTCGTCGGGTCTTGGGATCTGAATTTTAGTGGCTGTTTTGAGCTCTAGCTCCTGAAGTTTCTCCCCATTTTTGCCAATGACAAAACGATGGTGCTCCTTGGGGATGGCAACAGTAGCCGAAGCCTGTCAGGATTTAAAGTTATTCAAACAGTAAATAAATAAATCAAACAAAGAACCTAGCCTTAAATAGTCAAAAAATTTAATGACAGGTATAAATTGACAAAGACATCTCTTTACTTGAGTCTGCAGTCGGGACACAATCTCCTTCCGGGCCTTCATAACTGCATCCAGTTTTCCAGAGACCATGATAGAGAGACCCTGGTCTTTAGCCAAGGAGAGTTCCAGGTGGGCTCCAGTCTTGTGCATGATGTCCACACAAACCTTTGCTTGGTCTCCTTCCCCAAACTGATTGATGTCCTTGTACTTACGCTCCTCTAGCGGCACATGGAAAACCTTTTTCATATAGAGAAGGAAAACAGCACAAGGGGGTGTTTTTAGTTTTTTTTTTTTTTCTTTCTAATCTATTCACTTTATGAACTTGCACGCCTGTTATATCAGATCCAGTAGCTTTTTAACTACAGATTCCACAATTTTTCCCCTTTATTAGTACAACAGTGTACTGTCCCAGGTTTTAAAATTTTTGAATCATGAAATATACCAGTATTAAAAAGTTGAGGGGAGCAAGAGCAACAGTATTCCTTTTACTGAACAACCTACAGTTGATGACAATGACCGTATGAGTTTTAATCGTGAAAGACTTTCAGACTAATATTAGACAGCATAGGTGTACTCAAGGTTTTGACTGATACATTACAATAAACTAGGACCAAACCAACATCTACAATGGTTGACTAGCACTGTGATTAAGCAAAAAAAAAAAATTCACCACTCTACCAACAATCCGTTTGGCTAACAGCCCGAGTATCGCTAAAGATGGAGCAAAGACAATGAAAAGCAGCCAAGCATATGTACAAACATGCAAGTTTAAACATATTCGCAGGCTACTGCTGGCTACAACCACAGTAACATTGGAAGCATTTCTGTGAATGTAAATACATGGTTATAGTTAGGGAAAAGTTGTCACTTCGTTACTGATACTTTTACCCAACATTCAACCAATGCACAAGTGCACCAATGCAACAGTACAATGTCTAAGGATTAATTTAGGTTAGACCAAACATGCATACATGGGGGGGGGGGGGGCAGATAGATAGATAGGGGGACTACCTGGGTGATAACAGAAGACTTGAGAGGACGAATCTTTGTCCAGGCATTGGTAGTGTCCTGGGTCCCCTCAGGTGTGGCCGCTTTCTCAGGCAGAGGGGGGAAGGCTTCCTTATAGGTAGGAAGTGCATCCTCTTCCTCGCCAGCACTGGGTCCTGCCACAGCAGCTGAGCATATCATAAAAGTAAATACCAATACTTACAGGTAGAGCACCCTTCAATAAAATATTACCCACCACCACTCTGCTCTGGCAAGAGCCCACTGCGGTGTTCATTGAAGCTTTCCTGCGTAAGTACAGCGACTGAGCTCATGGTCAAAATCCCACGTTACACAGAGTCCGAGCGTGCCACTGAAAAGAAAAGCTTAGATTAGTTTCAGAAGGATGCCAAAAGTGAGAATATCTGAAAACCTAAAGTGAAGCATTATATCGAAACAACCATTTCAAGAGCATCTTTGCTTTTAGAGATGGAAAATGAAAAAAAAAGTCTGAGAGATGTAAACCAACAGAAATGATTTCAAGTTGAAGTTAAACAATTCTGTTAGCGACTTATTTTATTCTCCAGTCCAATCATTTGGGAAATAAATACAATTATTGTCAAACTAAAACTTTGCTCATTACTTTGACCCGTAAACAGTGAAATAGTAGCCAGGGAAGAAAGAAAAAAGTTAATTTGCCTCTACGAGTCACATGCAGGTGTTTAAGATGGCAATGAAGCTTATCATAACTGGACTTTGATTTTCAGAGTTTATCTAATCTACCTTCATCAAGGAAAGCCATGTCACATGTAATGATCACCCATGTCACACTAGTATGTCAGCACAGGGCTGATTTACACTAAGTACTTGGAGTTGGTGGAGATTAACCTTAAACTTTTTTTTTTTTTTTTTTTTTAACTGTAAAGGGTGGAGGCTAGACAGTGTAGACATCTGACACCTACAGTGAGATTTCTCTAACAAGAACCCCATTTGTCTTTCTGAACAACGATCCTGTGCTATTCTAAGAATTGCAGGTAGGTGAAGGTTAAGAGGATTTCAACCCACTGACCCTCTGTGTCCATACGGGATAGGATTAAAGTAAAAACCCACAGCACTCCCCACTTAAGTCTTCATAATAGATGATTATTTCAAACAAAGAAAGCACACCTGTTCATTTTGAATTATGTGTTAGTCCAGTGTTCCCCAACTTTTTTTGTGCCACGGACAAATTTAATGTCAGACGATATTTTCAAGGACAGGCCTTAGGTGAGATGACCATTAAAACATTTTTTTTAAACTGTCGAATTTTTTACATATAATACACGCTTTGAGCATGGGAATCACCTGCCGCGATTTAAGTAGCTCTCCTGGCATTAAATGCAGCCCTCTTTTGGATGGAGTAGCCTCACAGGCTTCTCCATCTCCTCAATGGGCCTTTTCCCTTTTACAAAAAAAAACTTTACTTGTTGCTTTCTTTTTTTTAAAGCTCATTTTACTTGCTTGTGGGGTTCACCATTAGCGTAAATGTATCATGTGATCAGAATAAACATCTTGACATGCGTCAAGAGTGAGCCATAGATTTATGTAACGAGAAGGAATTCCAGTCATTAAAAAAAAAGGTAAGGAAAAAAAAAAGAAAAAAAAAAAGAAAACAACTCAACATGGTTCAGACTTGGATATTATGTAAATACAGGAATAATGCAAATTTCTTATAATTCCTGTGCAGCCCAGTACTAAACGACCCACGGACCGGTAGATGGCCCAGGGGTTAAGGACCACTGTGTTAATCAACGTCTGACAGTTCGGAAATTCAGCAGATGTGATTGTTTCAATTTGCTTCTAATTGTTCCTTAAATTAATCTGCTAATAAGTCCATCCAAATGAAGTCGGATAAAACAGCTGATTTTAATGTCCTCCAAAGCCAGCAGCCTTTTTTGGGGCGGGCTTCACCATATCCTTGCTATATTCTAAGTACACAAGCAACTCAAAAATAATGTCAGATGCAGTGTAACAGGCAAACATAAAAGGTAAAAGGTAGGGCATCCTTATTTTGAGGACAAATTCAAACACATGTGGTGTGAAAACTGCATTCCAAGGATAGAAAAGATTGAATTTGTTTTAAAACAGCCATTTATAAAACCACTGACAGAATCAATTAATAAAAAAATGAATAAAATAACTTACCAGCTAAATGGTCAGTTACCAGATAATCCGTCCTGTAAAAATGCAAGTTCCCGTCAGCCTGCCAGCTTTTGCCTGAAAAGGGGCAAGGAAAATAAATAGATAAATACAATATATTAAAAAGATCATTTAAAACGTAAGAAAATAAATAAATAAATGAAATGACCAAGCAAGGGGTCTTAATGGATTTTGATGACCACATGACATATTAGTTGCTGAAGTGTAATATAACAATGAAAAAGAACCATATACTGCAATCTGGGCCATGGCATCCTCCCCTGCTTCATTGTTAGACAAGAGAGGCCATTGCAGACATCCTACCAGTACATTACTTTATACTTATAGTCTTGGTTTTACTAAGATGTAAGACCTACTGCCAGAATGTGATGAGTGGGACACCTGAAGAAATTTCTACTAGAATGGCACCTCTACCTAACTGAGGTTAGGAGTAAGGGCCTCTGGAGTTTAATCTTCTTAATCATCTGGCTATCAAAAGTAGATAATACTAAATACAAAACTGACATTTGTTGAAGATGCAATTGGTAACAATGTGTATTTTTCAATGCAGGGACCACCTAAAACATTCAAACAAGCAACCATAAGATGTGTGTTTTTTCCATGCGTTTCAACGTGGATCTGGCAATTGCGCATAAGGATCTCACAAAGGTTTAATACGTCTTAAATTTCTAAAGAAAATTCCAAAGAAAAGGTTAATCCACTTTTTAATCTCAATTCATTTTCTAAATAAGTAAACTGTGGTGTGGCTACCAGCCAAAATATGTGGCCCGTTATTTTTACCATTAAAGAAACCATTTGAGCCCTTGTGTTATGGCAGGATTCAAACGGGGCATGTGAATTCACGCACTGTGGTGCCTGGACATTAGAGCACATTGTCACACATGAGGTTATGCCAATAACTTATTAACATATTCCATTCATTTAGATTGCTAATAACAAATTAAAGTTAGCTTAACCTATCAAACTTAGCAACATATGACCCAACATTCGTGTTGACGCCGATTCGCTCCCCAAGCTAGTTTTGCTTACATAAAGGGTCTTCTGCAGCCTGACAAGCTTTGAGTCCTTATAATATTATAACAAAATCCCAGCTTACAGACTTAAGTAGCTAGTTAGTATTAAGTGCTAGCTAACATATCAAGTTAACTAGCTGACAGCTTCCAACGCCACATCACAGTTAATGCTAGCTGCCATCAGGCTGGCTAACCATACTCAATCCTAATAATGTGTCCAAAACTAAGACAAACTGACATCGTCTCAACCGACAGAGACACTAAAGAAACGTAAAATATACTTGCCCTCGGGAAGGAGTGTGGTATGCAGTGGAGTCAGATTTAGATTCATCAGAGTAGCACGGATTATTAGCTCTAAACCCCTAGCTTGTTAGCAAACTTGCTAAAAACTTTAACTGGTGTGCGTGACTGTGACACGTAGCCCCTCAGCTAATCGGTAGCGTTAAAGAGACCGACACATAACTTCAAACTGGACTCATGTCCAGCTAATGACATTAAGATACACCCTTATTTAGAACAAAATAACTTAAAGCATCTCCAACCAAACATGTACCATGTGACCGTTTCACTTTTGTACGATCTAAATAATACCGGTACGCTCAGGAAAAAGTATAACTTGGACTGGAACCTAGCTAGCGGGCTAATGTTAGCTTGTTGGTTCTACTAGCTCGGCAAGTCCACGTAGGCATACAGCTGAGCAGGGGAGAATTGACACGGAGTCAGGCCAGAACATACTGTAACATACGTGTTTTAAGACAAAACTGTTATCCAAATAAGTACCAGTATGTTGTTTATAAGAAATGTTTTTGTAAAGTGTAAAGTGGAATGGAGTCGAGTTCGGGGGAAAAAAAGAGAAAATACTTACTTATTTTTTTGTTCTCGTCTGCCCTGAAGGTGCAGAAGCTGAGATGAAATTCCACTGGCGAGAAGGTGGGAGTAAAGCTTGACGGATATATACCACTACCAGCCACCAATCATGCCTTTAAACGTCACCTCAAAGAGTCCGATTACAAAAAAACTTATTTTCATTTATAAGATTGAGGGTAACATTAGAAAGTTTGCATTTTGATTACCGAGAGTTTAGAATCAGTTTAGAATCAGGGACTATAGAGACTAATGATCACCTCTGTGTTGTGCATAAATGTCTTTATACTGACACAACCACTGATTGATTCCTTTAAAATTTCAAACCATGGCTGAATAATGCATGACATTTATTTTACACTTAATGTACAGCACGAAATTAAACGAGACTGTCCCAGTCAGTGATTGCACATTTATAAACTGTTCAAACAACCAAGCAGTTGTAGAATTTCTTTGTCAAAAATATTACATTATTGTTGCAGCTTTGCATTGCGCCATATGTGGTGTTAAACAGAAGTTTGGACAGTCCTCCATATGCATGCTTCTAATGGGCAGTCTCATCGTTACGCTGATAACACCAAACTCTATGTATCAGAATATTAGTTAATATCAGTTGTTTGAAGGAAAAGAAGTTACACAGTTGTTAAGGTGACATAACATTGACGGGTACCCTTAAATTCAGGAAAGAAGTATTCCTCCTAGGTGGAACTACTGTTTATTACCATACTGATATTATTACTATTGTGTTTCAATGTAGCTACAAAAACCTTGGGTCAATATAGTAACTATATGCTTCTAACAATCCAGTGTTCTAGATTGGTGCATTTTTGCATTAACAGAAAATATGCTGGGAAAATGTATTTAAATCAAAGTTAAGTTACTTTAAATAAACTTTACACATGTAAATATTTTAAATTGAAACATTCATTCAACCACTGTCTATACCATTTATTCCTAGTAGAGTCAGGTGAGGGCAAGCATGAATGCATGCTTTTGGAGTTGGGGAGAAAGGAGTGCCCAGACAGAACATACACATACACTGGGGAAAACGTGCAAACTCAAAACAGAAATGCCCCCCTTGCAAGACGAACCTTCTTGCTATGAGGTGATGGTGCCACCACACCACCACGCCACCCTTACTATAAAGACAACAGGAAAAAAAAGGTTTTCTAAACTTGTCTTTGAACCGTTGTCTACTGCATCAAAATCCAAAGGCTTCAGACTGTCTTCAATATTTGTTATTGTTACATCAGACATTTTTATGAAGTTTGTGTCTTCAGCTTTATCTTCCATCCACCTCCTTCCCATGACTTGGCAATTTTCCCAGGAGGCTGACTCTCATCCTCTTGTAAAGTCAGTCAATCTAAAATAAACTGGACAGTGTTTCCTCTGTGCTGATTCGCCTAATAAGTAAGAAGATAAGGCACAGTCAAGTGTCTAACCATAGGTGGTACACAATATCTTTGTCTTCCTATATGGATTGTTCTATCTATTGTAGTTGTTGTTGTTGCTACTGAGCCTCTCCGGGGAGACCATGGCAGGCAAGGCTGATACTGTAAAGCTATGGCCATCTTGACTTATCAACAACTGGAAAAGACTTACAACACAGCATGGATCTTTTTCATTTAAAACAATGACAACAGAATTTAATTGGTGGATTTACAGAAAAAATGTAAGACACATTCTCTCAACATATTTTACAAAGATACACTTGAGATAGGCACGAAAAAATGAATAGAAATATCTGAAAATAGTTAAATCAATAAAGTTTTTAACTATATTGTCTTTTAATGAAACGATGCAACTGTGTGCCAGGCAGCTTTCCTGGTCCTCTCTCAATATGAAGCCCAAAGCTATAAGGAAGAGGGGCAACAGAACATGGTCTTTTCCAGGTGTAGCAAGAGCCTTGTAGCAGGAAGCATGAAAAAGGAATTATTAATTAAAACCTTTTGAAATATTCAATTCAAACAATAGGCCTATTGATCAGTCAATCAACCTGTAACATGCGTGTTTAAACGTCTTATAGCTGTAGGGATAAAGGACGTCCTGAATCTCTCAGTCCTGCATTATTGTGAAATGAACCTCTCACTGCTCCTGGTTCTCTGTTCTGTTAGGATGTTTTGAAGTTGATATTTGTTTTTCTCTGTTACATACGTCGAGATGTATGTGTGGGGATGGGCGTTTCTCTCCCCCAGCGTGGGCCTGTAGGCCACACAAGGGATTTTTTTCCCCCTTACCTTTCCTCTCCCCTCTCCTAGTAGGTTGGTTATGGCCTGTGACCCTTTTTATAGGTTCTGGTGGACATAGTGGTGTTAACACCTCTTTCTGTTACTCAATTTGTAATTAAAGCTTATTATTTGTTAACATTCTGCTGTTTGATTTTCTGCTTTTTTTCCCGTTTGTAATTATTGTTACTCCCCAACCATCTCCATAGGATTTTCACAGTGGGGATGTAACATTCTCCATTGAAGAATCTAACTTCCTCCTCATCTGCAGTTCAACCACAGTTCTGAGTGAGTCCATCCACCTGCCTATGACAGAACCAGCTTAATTCATGAATTTGTCCAGGCACCTGCACTTTTTGTACATTGTGCCACTCCGCTATGAGACAACATCATAGAACAGTAACGTTGCAATGACAGTGTGATCAAAGATTCAGAGCATGACACTGCAGACATTAGGACCTGGGCCATCTCAGTGGCAGCAATGCTTTTTAAACTACTCTGTGTCTTTGTTGGCAGACCAGTCTGCTTTTGTTCATCCAGCACCACCCCCAGGTACTGCTCCTCTCCATTAATGCGGACTGACTGGTACAGTGTTTTGCTTCACTTGAATTTTACAACCATCCCCGTAGTCTCTGTGGTGTTCCAAAGGAGACAGACAGTTCTTTTTACTAGTCAGAATTCAAATATCATTATTCTCTAATATAAACCAGGCACATGCAGATGACCAGATTCCAGGTATATGTACACAATCACATCTACAAGTTAATTGATTTCTTAGCGGGAAAATTGATGGAGTTATGATCTTCAGTAGCCTACAGTGTCATGCGATTGACAAGGACTTACTCCATGGTGTTCATTATGTGGGATTTCAATGCCACAGGTCTGTTAATTCACCTACACTGGACGGAACAAGGACTTTTCACAACTGAGATTTGATGTTGTAATTAGATCATTCCTTTCATAAAATAATCCTGTATCAGTTTGTAGTTATAACTGATTGTGTAGCAAAATGGCAAAACAGCTCTTAAAAAAAAACAAAAGAAAAAAGAATAGTCGACTCTTCTATATTGAATGAGACGCTATTGTGCTTTATAGTAAACTAAATTCTACAATACCTAAATATGGTAAAATAATATATATATATTATAATATATATTATAATATATTGATAAGACATAAAATCTTAATAAATCTGATTTTACTCAACACAAAATAATATTTCAGGCCTGTAATCTTTGTAACAAAAACAAAAGAAGTAACTTCTAATCCTCATTTCATCACTTTGATTACAATTCATCTATATTGTGCCTACAATCATTTATCCCATATGGAACCATGTGTAAAAGTTTGGAAAGTGCCATATTTTGGTTTGTGAATGAGAAAAAACTAAGTAATACCCTTACAGCATTAAATATCACAGACATTAATGACATGTTATTTTATTAATTGTAATAATCTAATCATCCAACCAACTTGATAAGTTCAGTAGTTCAGTAGTTACAACTTATGCTAACATTAATATCATCATTTGTAGGGTAATTATAGATTCCTAAAGAATGAAAAGCCAGTTACAAATTCAATAGCGCTTTATAATAGATGGCAGAGGGTATAGACTGAAAATAGCTGATAACTCATAAACAGAGATGGCTAATAAAGGAAATACAAGTGCATGCCTTTCCACTGCTCAAAATGTGGCAAGGCAAGAAGTTGTAATAAGGTTATTGCATCTATCACTAACTGGAGAGGAGTATGCTTTAGCTGACAGGTATTGCATCCTTTCCTTGTGCAGTTTTGAAGAGTCGATATAACTGTCAACATGTATGCAAAGCAACATCTGGTTTAGCAAGAAAAGTTTTGGTAACAAAGACAGTGGACAGATTAAGTTAAGAAACTGAAACTGAAAAAGATTGGTTTCTACCACAGGACAGTGAGCCAAATCAGCCCCAAAAAAGTATTCGAAGACTTTGCATACGTTTTTTTGTTTAATCATCTGGTCCTACCAAGATATTGAGATTATATCAAACTAGCATCAGATAAAAACCAAAACAGCACTATTACACCATCTCTGTAATTAATGTGAGAAAGAAAGTTAAAATGCAGAAGTTTTATATAGGAAATAAAAGTTCATTTTTATAATTTACCAGCTTGTAGTTACCTTTTTGTAACCTTTTATTACTTAACATTTTTTGATGTAGCGCTTTCTAACAAACAAGTGACAGCAAAGATATAAAAGCAAAAACAAAAAAACAAAAAAATCAAGAAAATAATTTTTAAAAAGAATCATATAATAACATGGGAAATCATGTTAACAGCATGTAAAAAGTGTATAGAAATATTAGCGCATCAAGTGCTATTAGGTATTGGAAGCCAATTTGTTTAGTATTAAGTTCAGACTTTAAAAAGTTGCGAGTCTACAACTGTGTGGAATTTGGGAGTTACTGCTTTCACATCTTGGGAGCAGCAGTAGTCAAAGAGTGATCACCCCACTGTTCGTACCTTACCTCGATACATCTTAGTTGCATTGATTTTAAAACCACACTGACAACTTATAAGAATCTTCAAGGGATAAGATAGAGCAATTCCATTTAAGACATTTAAAAATCAATCATTAAAATGTTCAAATGAATTCTAAATCTAAGGTACTTTCACAAGTACCTCCCAGATTTTCACATTTTGCAAGAAAGTTAAGGGCATGGAATCATAATATGACGTCACACTGTTGTTCAAGGGAAGAAAATAAAACACATTCAGTCGGATCAAATATCGGACATTTTTGTAAAGCCAAAGCTTCGTCCCACTTTTTCAGCATTGCAGAGAGCTAGACACAAGTTAACTGAGTTTAACTGCCAAATAGTAGTTTTTCATCATCAGCACAACGGTAAACAGTCAGATTTTGTTTGGTTATGACCAAGCCTTGTGGCAGCATGTTCAAAAGAAAGGGCCAAGAATGGAGCATTGCAGTAGCCCACAGGGGAGTGATACACATGAGGAAAAATCTTCACCAACCAAAACAGAGACATTCCTGTTCGTTAAATACAACCTATACTACGTCAGGACAATAACATGAATGTCAACATAATTCTCCCTGCAATAAAAAAGAAAAAAGGATGGTTTAGTCCACTATAGCTAATGCTGTTGTGGGATCCAGTAGCACGAGCACAAAAGGTACTACTATCATTACCAACTGCCAAGGTGCAGTTGGTAATGTGATCTTTTATGACCTTTTAATCGATTAAAAATAATCTACAACCCTTTAAAATTGGGAGATCAGATGCAAAGCTTTCATAGTGTCCTAGCATAACATTTAATTTACGTTGAGGTCTGGACTTTGACTGGACCACTGCAACAGGCTGATTATTTTCTTGTAACCCTCGTTTTTTTGTAGATTCGCTGCTGTGATCTTGTTCACCGTCCTGTTGCTTGATCCAATTTCACCCACCTGTCAGACAGATTTCACTACATTTGTCCAAAATAATACTGTAGTATACAGAGGTCGTGTTTGAGCTGAAATATTGTGCTTTTTTCCCCCCACCAAATTTAACACACTGCTTTATGATCCAACATCTTCACTTTGGTCTCATCTGTCTAAAGGTTGTTGGCCCAGAAATCTTATGGTGGTTTCAATTTCAGCTTTGCAAGTTGATAGGTGCTGCAAAGTCCTTTTGGAGAATGAAAGTTTTCTCCAGGTTCCATTTCAACACAACTAATACTTGCTTAACACTTGTTCATACTTGTTCATACTTTTCATATTTGTTCATACTTTTCTAATTGTATTGTCATGAACTTTAACACTGCTAACTGAAGCCTGTAGAGTCTGAGATGTAACTTTTGGGTTTTATGCCAAGTGATGATCAGTTTATTAAGCGTGGTTGATTAGCAGTGTTGGGTTACTACTTTTGCTCTTCTTTACATTCTTATGGAAGGGAAAGGCCATACCTATATTTCCATACTGGAGTTTGACTTACTTTTTTCTTGAAAATAATACAATTGATAATGCTATTGGTCAATAAAGACTGTTTATACCTAATTCAAAGAAGCTATGAGAACTACTTACTAGGCAACTATGTCTTTCAAACCTTTGACATTCGTTTTCATGAGTGTTTTACCAGAATCACCAAAGAGATTCTCGGAACAGCCTTAAACTGTGAAAATCTCTAAAACAATTCGGACAATTGTTTGATCAGGGAAAACATAATAGATGGTCATATCACATTTACAAGCTGCGATACCTTCCAGAAAAAAAGCTGTGCAGTCTTCTATTATAATGCATAAACCTTCTGTCTGTTTGCAGGGTCAATGTTTGTAATTATTTTCAAGAGAATCAATTCAATAAAAGTCACAATCCAGTGAGGAAATTAATTTTCATTGTGTGACAGTGGTCAGTAAAGCATACTGGGCTATTTGCTCCCTGATTTCCAATTAAAGATATGTTGGATATTTATCCTTGGAGTTTCTGAAACCACCTGTATTTTTGCCATATTTTTGTTTGACATCTCAATTTGTCTTTGTGGCTTTACAGACAGCAGATGTCAAATCTGTGATTCACCGAAGAAAGCACATGGTAAGGATATGTATCTATTATATGTAAGGATAATATATTAAATTAAAATTTTTTTTTAGATGTTATGTGTGCAGGAACACTACAGCCAATAGTCTCAGACTATTTCCAAACCACTTGTCTCACTAAACTCATTACAAATGGGCACGGTGAGGAGGTTCTGTGCTCTTGATGGATAATGAATACATATCAAAAGCCACAATTAAATCAATCAAGTCAGTCAGTCTGCACAGCCTTGTTATCAAACACAAACTAGCAAATTTTTAAAAGACAAGAATAGGATATTTGAGCAACAAAGATTAGTAAGAATATCATCCAAGTTAGCAAAAATGACTAATGGTGAATTTCCATGAATACTCCATTTCACTCTTGCTCCACTCCTTCATTTATTGACAAAGAAAATCACCTGGAAAGTGGCACACTGTTTCTATTGTATAGATTTATTATTTAAAGGATAGGACACTGTAATTGGATTAAAGAATTAATACAATTTGTGTACAAAAAGCAGATGTAGGCTATGTGAAAAATAAGAAAAACATGGAAGTTGAGGGTTTTCTGTGCTGTTACTATCTACAACCAGCAGGGGTAGCTCGTTCACAAAGTGAAAAAGGACCTCTGCCTTTTTATCTGTTTGCGCATCTAATTTCAGAGCAGCTTTAAAACAGAGACTTTGAGAAATCCTGACGTTGTTTCAGGAATAATATGATTGAGCTTTGATGAAAGACGCAGACTGTTTTCAGTGCTTGTGACTCGCGCAAGCACGCGATTAAAATGTCTGGATAACTGTGGTTCTATATTTGGAAAGTTAAATAGAAACGTGTGACAGTTTGATATAATCAGCATGAGGAACACTATGTGCACGACCAGCCCAGAACTACTCTGAGAAAAACAATCTGTTTATTTTCAGCCAGAACGCGCCTTCAATGTTAAAAGTTGTGGGGTTTTTTTCACGGTTGGCCTACACGTTTTTTATTCTCCCCGATGCATGAAAGCTATTTAAAGTAAACGACGGTAAATGTACGCTCCACAGCCCACAGCTCCGTTGCCACATCTTAAACAACACAGACCAACTACACGGTTTCAGCCAATGACGAATCAGAGTGAGTGCGCACTCTCAGTGACGAGGACCATGGATTGGAGTAGTGACCTACTCGGCGAAACAAACTTTTAGTATTTTTTGCGAGACTTTGGGCCAAAACGGTAAGTTTCGTCCATGTTTCTGAATACTTTCCCCATTTTTCTTCTACTGTGGTTACTCTTTATTTGAGCGAAAACACAGCTTTGGACTCAAACCTTGCTTACCCACCCGCGGTTAGTTGCACATTCGGAGCTCTGGTTCTTAAAGCGAAAACAAACCTCAGCTTAGTTTATATGTGCCTTTTGAATATTTTTTTACATGTAATTATGAGTATTTTAAAAGTGTTTGTACGTACGTAATTCATTTTTGAACGAAGAATATATGTACCCTGGACGTCTCAATTCTTTAAAAAAAAAAAAAAGAAGAAAGAATGAAAAACGTTAATTTGTTAACGTCGTCAGTGTTTCAGGCCGTTGTCCCCTTAAAAGGTTCAACCTATTCGATAACGATGGCATTTGTCAATTTTGGTCACTGATATATGTCTGTGTGTTACTTAGGCCTAGATTAATTGTCTTAACACATTTTTAAAGTGCTTGCGGACACGTCCATGTTTGCAATTAAGTTTACACAGTTGAACAGCTCAAACCCAAATGTTCAACCTTTATTGAGTAGTACAGAATAATGGGGGTGGGGTTGTTTTTTTTTATATTTTTTGCTCATTCATCCATTCATTCAGTGTCGTTTTCTGTCTTTTGCAGGAGCCGGCGACTCTGGAGAGTCATGGGGGAGATGGAGGGTTCCTACCGGGTCCTGCAGACCCCCGGAACACGGCTGGGAGCCCAGTTCAACGCTGGCATCAGCACTCTGGAGCCTGGCCAGAGCCTCAGTGGTAACATGGTCAGCGGGAGCAAAAGCCATGGGCGAGGCATACAGATTCGCGTTTATGGCCTGGACGATTCCCAGGAGTTCTTTGACATAGATGTGAGTTTCAGCCGTCGCACAGCGTCATTGGGTTTCCTTTAACCCCTTTTGTTTACTTTTGGATAAAATGGGTGTTTCTTACTCAGCAGGCTACATGTCAGTTTACTGCCCTTGGTTACCCTGTTTGCCTGTGGCTTGTGTTGGTGACAGCTGCCATATGGCTTTGGTGCTGAAATCCCTTCCTCCTTAAGGCTTCTTATTCGGGCAACTTAGTGTAAATCACCAGGGTACGTTTAAGTTTCTTGGCTGTGATTTCTGCTCTAGGTATAAGTAATGTTATTAGAAGTGGTGGTTTTCCATATTATTTACACTGGCTGGTCACTGTTGATCAATTCTCTTGTTAGAAGGTGAATTTTTTTATAAAAAGATTTTGGTAAACAAATGAGCCTACGTGGACATACTCTTACTAGTATTTGTAGATTATTGTCAACGATTTCATTGCTTTTCATCAATGCCCTTTAAAAAACAACCAGTTTGAAGATGGCTTGGATTAAGTTTTAAGATCTACAACATTGCTCGGCAATTTACAGCTAGAGTCATTCAGCAAGCGAATAGGAAGCAATAAGGAAGCCACTATATCAGAGCATTCTTCCGCCGCTTCCTGTGGGTAGGAGAATTACCCCAGAGTCGACGTGATGATTTAAGTAAACGATTCAGCGACTGATTGACAGAGAAGCACAATACTGGACTTGGCAGCTGCTAATTGTGTTAGAATAGGTGGCGTATTTATATTTCCCTGTATCTGTCCTAAATCCTATGCAGACACAACAATAACAGATAGAGAACAGACAATAACTAGCAGATGCAATTTGGGCGCACTGCTGAGACAGACATTTCATAATCTCATGTACCATATGTTGTTTCAAAGTCTTAAGCTAATGGACTGTGACAGTCAGAGGTATATCATTGAGCAGGAGCAGGTACCAGTGCTGTTAGACCAGAGTAAAATAATTTTTTATGTAAGTTTTCAGAACTTATTCTTCCCTAAATTCTAAGAGTCTCCAGAACTTGGCATGATGAGTGCATCGTAGCTTCACATAGTGTTGACAAGAGGTTGCAGACAGAAATACATAGCTTTAAAAGGAGAATGACTGCCATCTTGTTGCCAAGCAGACTGCACTTAGACAAGTACACAACGGCCCTCTGAGAGGCTCTGTTGTGAATCAGCAGAGCTCCATATTTCTACTCCTTTAGTCAGAGTTGCCGTGCGTTGGATGGGGGAATAGCATTAATCTCTAGTTACGGAACAGCCGAATGCATCAGAACTGACCCTCCTTTTCATTCACAAGAGCTTCTGTGTTGCATCATTATTTGACTAGAAAAATATTATTTAAAAGAGAAACAAATGAAGCAGTTCAATCTTTTATGCCCTAACTGTAGGTTTGTCCTCATGGAGGCTGCATGCAAATATAGACACAAAATTGCAGTATGGAATGTTTGCAGTGGTTGTGGCTGCAAAAGTAGCTGCCTCCCCTCATCATTGGAGTTCTGTTGCTCTGCAATTCAAATATTTTATACTGTACAGTGGTATACCAAAGTGCAGTACCTTTGATATTGTCACTCAGTTGGCGAGTGACAATAATGAGTTGCATCTCAACTTCTTGTTCTTCTTCCAGTTATTTATGGGACTGAAATTTTGGACAAAGTGGCATTTGAGAAATAGACATTGGGACCTGTTTTACAATTAAATATAACTGAATTCACTGTACGAACATCTTAAATTACGTCTGTTTAGTCATTTGACAAAAGCAACAGAACAACATGTTAATGTGTGCAGTCTTTCAAGACATTTAGCTGCTTTTATATTAGCATTTTTATTTATTTTACTTAAATTTTGTAAAAGCATTTTTTTAAAAACATCAACAATATACTGTTAACATTTGAGTAAGTATTTAAGTATATTGGTATTATATAGCCAGCACTAGTTTTTTTCTTGGAGCTAAGTTAGACCAATGAAATCATAGTGCATGTCCTTTGATCTATTGGCCTTCATCTGCTGAGTATTCACCTGGCATGGCTCATCCAGCGGACATTTGCTCACATAGCTCTTATCCATAGACTCCTCCCACAGCCAGCACAGGAGAAAGCTCAGTCTTGTGGCTTGTGGACATGGAGGAAGGCCCGGTGGTGCAGAGAAACACAGGCTCCTTTTATCTAGCACAGCCAACCCCTTTGCGGGGCCTTAACTTCCAGCTCAGCTCACAAAATGAACTGAGGGTGGGATGTGAAACCTAGCATAGTGAACATGCAGCCGTGGTGGGATGGGAATCAGGATACCTTTGCTTTAGTGTTAGCAAGCTCATAAAATAGCAATGTTGACAACAAAGTGGGTAGAAAAAGCGGGGGGTGGGTAAAGGAATGCTTTCTGGTGTTAAAAGAGCAGTTCAGAGGCAGAAGTAGTGGCCTGTACAAAGTTTGAGCTGGTGAGGTGGGGGAGGGGACACTCTGAGAAGTGTAGCTCGGCTGAAAGTTTGGCCTAAGGATTTTAACCCGTGTTGCTGCACAAAGATTAGATTCTCTTCACAGAGCAAGATGACAGAACTTGTGTCATTTAGTGGCTTTGTTTAATTGTTGTATCTTTGAACAACTCATATGGGTGGATGGATGGTGGTGAGACTACTCGTGGCAGGCAAAATGCAGTGTCTTTGTCTTTTATAGGGTTTACCATTTTGATTTTACCTTTGCATAAAAATAAATGATTTTCTAAAGAAAAAGGTACATCTGATTAAAACCATCCCCATTTCATGTGTTAGCAGGTTGTTTGTGTCACCTCAATGGGCTAAAACCTACCTGTCCAGTGAACCTATTCATTCCAGGTTTGTCATTTTCACAACTTATGGGATGATATTATTCTACTGGCCATTCTCTGAAATAACCAGGCTGTTAACTGCTTTGACTGACCTTGGACATCAGCACCAAACAGCGATTCAGATAAAAAGCTGTTTCCAACATGAGTAAAAAACTAAACAAAGCAAACACTCACTGTCCCCCTATACACAGAAACAAATTGGTCTAAATTCTTTCCTTTACAAACGACCCCTCTCTCACGCTGCATTTTATTATGTGATTTATTACCACCACAGTTCTGGGCTTCTTTTTAAAGTCTGCTGGAAGTAATCGGATATCAGATAAGAAAGACCTATCTATTTTTTTTTATTTATTTGAATTCTTTCATTTCCTATGTGTTGAAGGCCAAGTCGAGGCTGGAAAGCATCAAAGTTGCACAGCTGATCTGAGCAGAAGGTGCTCTGTAAACCACTTTATTCTGATTACCAGCCAACAGTGTTAATCTTCCAACAAATGCTCTTACCAGCTGCCCACAGGTGTTTTTTTAAAACTGGTTTTCAGAAAGGTTCACATAGAAATGTATTCTGCAATTTAAAGTGGGCTTTTTATTAAGAGAGGTGTTGCAGACATTTGAAATCTCCTAACACAAACCTGTAAAAGCAGTAGTTGCTATGAGGAGCTTTAAAATGTATATTAACCTGGATGTGTCTTGGTAGCAAGGCCATTACAAAGTGTATCCTATTGTGACTGATACAAGTCCTAACACACCCCTGCTGACAGTTGGACATGCTTCCAGAGATTGCAACCATAACTGGTAGACCCTGCTAACCGGTCCTGCAAGACACACCCAAGCCAAACCCTGGATTTGAAATGGGATCAGTGATATTTTTGGTTATAGCCGTGCCGCCTCTTTTTCCATTTTTCCTTCCTTCATTTTCTATGCATGAGAGTGGCAGTCCTCCCCCACAGCTTGCATCTATTTACTCTTTTCAAACTCTCACTTCTAACACCCCCTTTCTCAATTAACATGCGCACACACACACACACAGTAGCACCACACCCAAGTGATTTGTCTACCAGAGAAACATCTGTTCGTTATAATCCCTGCTGCTTTTGAGGCTTGATTTGGTGACCTACTGACCCTTCCTGGTGTTTAGAAGAGACTGTGATCTAAACCACAAGTTGAATGCAAATGAACAGATCCTGATCTTACTAACGCATCACAATTATTTTAGGAATTTAGGTAGCAGCCCATGGATTTTCTGACAGTTATGCTTACAGAAGAGCAGATTTAGATTAATCTTTCTAATTGATGAGTAAAAATGACAAAAAAATATTTGGGACCCAATGTAGAAAAATATTTTCTCTAATCACAAATAAATACTAGGATTCTTTTATTCAAATATGGATGTAATTAGTGAATTTAACCATAGCTACTTAGTTCATCAAAAATGTTGAATAAAAGTTTTACACAAACATAAAAAACATTGGGATTGGACCAGCCAATGTAATTATTATTTAAAGTTAATAGGTTTACTACTGTTTTAAGATCTTGGTCTTGAAATGTTTAACCATGGCCTTCTTGTTTTTCTATCTTATTGCTTCTGTGTATTGAGTGATGTAATGATTTTCTGTCAATTTTGTAAAATTGCACATTTCACAAAATTAAGCTGTCTGAAGGAAAATTTTATTTTAAGTCTTCATTGTAATGAATAACCACAGAACTATTATGGAAAACACTTTTTTAATGAAAATACACAAAGTTATAGTCACAAATAAAAGGAAAATGATAAAACTTACTATTTTTAGTGTGCATTGGTAGAAGTATATGTAATAGGAGGGACTTGCAAGTTTTTCTGATATTGCTCTATCTACTGTACATTTGTGGAGTTAGAATGCCATTTATCCATCCAACTCTAATTTGGTTTATTGTTTTGCAAATAATTATACCCATTCAAATAAACAATTACATTTATACACCCTGAAGTCACCATAAAGGTACAAAAAACAACAATAGTTTACGCAACTGTGGTAACCACCAGACCACCGTGCCTTCCATTAATGGAAACTACGGTAAGGGTGGACACTTATGTATATTTTGGCTGAAAAATGTAAAAAAGTCATAAAAAATAGGTCAACAATTATATATTAATGTTGTTGATGATGTTAAGTCTTTTTTATATCGTATATAACATCTAGCTTAAGTGTAAGTGTTGTATTTACTATACTCACACAGTAAAATACAATACACAGTTGAAAGACAATTTGTTATTTTAGACTCAGATTTCCAGATGTACATTCAGGTTTTGTTCCCTCTGTTAACAATGTATCAAATGCCAGATTCCTGTAGATATCACTGGACTAATTCTGTGAGCGTGACTCTGTTAATCCCTGCTTTTGCTGTTTTTAACATCACCAGCTGCCACTCAAGACAAACTAATGCTTGTCTGGAGAATAGTTTCTGAAGTATATTGAATCTGGAGACTTTAGTTCTTTTGCTCATACTTGTGGTCTTTTCACACACACCAGCGTCCTGCCCTGAGCAGTGTTTGATCATATGTTGACTGTAAATCATTGTAAAAATGTTTGGAGTATAGTAGATGACAAGCCTGAGACCTCCTCTGTCAGATTTACTCCACTTATGTGACTTAAAGGGTGCAGGCATTGTAAGCAGTGGACTGGAGGCCACAATTCAGCTTATACTTGGCTATAGGTTTTTTTTTGGTCTCTTCACTGCAGTGAGTTGGGTGTCTTTATAGTGGCCATATTAGAATGTTATGCCTGATGTGTTACATTTAGGACAAATTTTTCCATCCACTCTTCTTTTTTGCCTTTGCCTCTACATGATCTGAGTAGGGTAAGCTTGTTAAATCTGGAATGTATCGTAATGTTGACTTTTTACTAAATCATTCACGTTTGATCCTGGTCTACTTTTTACAAATAAGTTAACTTATTGCTGTTTCGTTAACATGATAATCTTTGTACAGTTTAGTGCAAGTGTGCTACACATTATGATGTCCTAATCTTTGTACGTTTATAGATGTTTAAAGCTGTTTAAACAATCATCAAATTCGTTCCTCCAGATCCTCAACATTGCTATACATTATTCAAAAATATAATTAGGGGTTTATTTAAGACAGACCAAGGCTGTTGTCACATCGTCTTCAGTTGTGGAAATTTTAAGAGCTTTTTTAAAAACATGTGATGTAGGAATACAACTATTTTGCTGTGATTTTTACTTATTCATGTAAATGCAGCTATGAATAGTATATTTGTGCAATATGATAAACATTCTTACACTCCCTCTGTCCTGTATATTACTGTTCAATGATACTGTGGGTATGCTTAAAAGTCAGCCTGATTAAGGAGTAACACAACAGAGTTTTAAAGAGTGGAAATGAGTGATTGGCTGTTATTATAGCAAGGAAGAATTCCATTGGATCAAAGCAGTTAGGCCATATTTTGACATAGAATAAATATATTTGAAGCGTTTGACTGAGTAAAAAAAAATTGTTCTGACAAAGCGTCCAACCACCAGATCATAGACTCGAGAGGTAACTTTCTTCCTTGAGCTTGAGGATGAGCTTACCAATAAAAACAATGACTGTGCTCAAAAAGTGGGGGTTTACCCTCATTTCCTCTTTAACTTTCAACCCAAACATATTGAGCTGCTGTGAAATGCAATTGTACACGGTGGTGAACATTCCCCAGAAAATATACTGTGAAAGGATTTACAGTAAAGGAAATCTAAAATCTGTTGGTTGAAATGACCACATCTTTTTATGTTCTCTTGAAAACAAGTGCCTATCCTGTCTTGTCACTATTCCCTAACAAACATATCACAATATTAGCATAAATTCAATGTCCCATGTCTAACTGTGTGCAGCTAATTCACTGCACATTTTCTGTATATTAATGTTAGAGTAATGTACCATATTGACTGTTTACCAGCATATTCACAGAAAATGTCACTCCATTCTGTCTCAGACGGATGCAAAAGAAGCTTTTAGTATAAGTTTAATTCAGCTCTGCTTTGAATTAATGAGCGTTGCAAAAGAAATACCTCTGAAAGCAGAGTGAACATTTCTTATGGGTGCTACACCGCTACTACACAAAGAAGTCATTGAACACTTCATATCATCTGAGCCAATGTCCCCTGTGAGTTGTCGCTCCATAAAAGAACCATAATTTTGTGTATGGTAGACTTGTGTAACTCCCTTTGCTACTTGACAGTGCAATTCAACCTTCAAATGAGCAGTTTGTTGGCTTTTGTTGAGTTTTTCTCCTAAGTTTCTTACCCTGTTTTTCACTAACTTACAGCAGAATGGGTTGCAGTGTTAGCTTGAAAGATCGCTTGGTACAAAAGGGGAACTAAGTTATGACATTGTTGTTCCTCATGACTGGTTTTGCTTTGATAACTCTGTTGCATGTCCAACAGAGCACAGCATCTGCATACAACTCAATATTTGGTAACATTGTATCTTATGCCACCAAATGTTTTGTACATCTGTGCTGCTGGTTCCATACTTTCTGGTGTTGGTGCAGATTTTGTTTGGCTTGGACTCAAAGGCATGCTAAAGTATTTGAACACACCAGTTTTTGTTCTCTGTTTGAGGTCAGTGGTAATTGGATACCGTGAATGTGTGGAAAAAGGCATTTTACAGCAGATTCCAACATCTATGAATGTGTTGTGTCAGTGGGTTTCACCTGCAATTTATAAATCTTTCTGAATGTAGAACATGATGGTATCAATGATAAATCTCACAATGCTCTTTGAGCCACAGTGCTTGACTTTATTCCATACAAAGCATTTCTTTTTATAAGGCTTTTAAAAATACTTTTTTACATTACAACCAGATGTTCCAGGCTATAATTTTCTCAAAAGGACGCAGGCTAGAATTCTAACCCCAAGTGCCATGTGCTCTTAGTACATTGTAATTAGTCCTTGGTTCAGGGAAAACAAACCCCTGAGCCCTGAGAAGGTAAATTTCTGCAGATTTCCTGCCTGGGATTTTTAACTGTACTTTGCCAGGCAACAGAGCAGCATAGCAGGACCCATTTCTGCTGTTCACCCACCCATCATCCAAGTCAAGGAAAGTTTTCAAATCAATAGTTGCCATGTAATTTGTCATAAATCACAACTAGATGGATGAGTTGCAGGCAGTAGATAGTTCTTCAAATACAGACACCTTTTCTTTAGTTTTCAGTTTGTTCATCAACAGGTTCTAAGCAGAGATATGTTTAGAATCCCGATGATGATCTTATCCTGTGAACTATCTGCTTTTTTTTTCTTATAAAAACACATTTTCACAGAACCCGTAATCATTTACCTTGTTTTTGAGATGTTAAGATGTACCAGTAGAGAGTGTGAAAACCTCTATGTTGACGCAGCCATAAAAAGAAACATTCAACCTATTGTGTCTTTTCTTTTTTTTTTCTCACAGCCAAAGGCTCTTGGACAAGTCCTCCTTTCTGAGGTTTTCCACAGAGGCAACATCATAGAGAGTGATTACTTTGGCCTTGAGTTTCAGAACATGCAGATGAACTGGGTATGTACGCAACCAATAGCACTTTACATCAGACTCAAATTGAGTAATGGCGATGGATTCAAGCAGAGGTCAAAGGTCACAGCTCAGTTATGAGTCTTAAACATATTTAACTTGTCGCCGACTGCTGTCTTTTCTCCGCAGTCAGACTTTCCAGTGTCTTTTTCTTCCAAAAACATCAATGGAATGCATTTACCACCTCTAAGTTTTCATAAACCAGCACAGCAGCTATGAAACAATCCATACATCTCCTTTAAGGAGAATGTAGTTACTACTCAATAGATACACTGTTTTTTTAGCTTGAATGTTCATGTTTACCCCAAATGTGCACAAACTGATGCAAAATTTAAAACTCCAAGATATTCAATGTAATGTATAAGTGTAAGTACTGCCCGTCAAAAAAAAAAAAAAAACGATAATCGCACACAAACGTGTAGACTCCATATTAACTTGATATGATTCTGAGGAGGAATAATAACCAATGTACTTTTCTTAATACATTGAGAGTGTTGCACATTCCTTTGTCAATTGGGCCCAGATGTAATGTGGGCAGAGTAAACTCTTACAATAGTCATTGGAGAAGCTGGTTCATGCACAGTCTGTCAACTTTTCTCCACTGTTAATGGGTTTGCATTGCGTGAGTTAAGATTGTCGTTAAGGAGTCGTATCAAGTTTAGCTGTTATCACATCTCAGATTTTGAGCCTTTGATACTAATAAGAATGTGCCTTCTCTTTCCTTTCAGGTTTGGCTGGAACCCACAAAACCTGTCGCAAAACAAGTCAGAAGTGAGTACAAAAGAAAAAAGGCAGGTTAGATGGCTCCTGATAAAAATGTGAAAGTGCTAATATGATTTCAATTAATTTTTTTTTTTGTTAGGACCGGCCAATACACTGTTTAGACTGTCGGTGAAATTCTTTCCCCCTGACCCTGGTCAGTTGCAGGAGGAGTACACGAGGTCAGTGACTGTAATTTCCTATTTGGTATTACTTTCATGCCATGCTTTTGTAGAGGAGCTTTAGAAGCTGAACTCTTTCAGTCTTCATTTCAGAAGGTCGTGATTTTGAAGATGAATACTTGTCCCACAGAAATATATTTTCAAATTTCTGTAATAGTTGAAAAGGCAGACTTGGGTGTTCTAAAGTTAAATACACAGTAATATTTTATTGTCCCTCCCCCAGGTACTTATTTTCCCTGCAGATGAAAAGAGATCTGATGGAGGGCAGGTTGATCTGCACAGAAAATACTGGAGCACTGCTGGCCTCTCACCTTGTTCAGTGTATGTTTACATGATGGCATTTGAACTAAAAGAATTTGGTAATCTGTTAACTCTGATTTTGTTTGGTTGAGATAATGTACTTTAAATGTATTCTTTCTTACTAAGACACATCTGCTAAATTAATAACTGGTTAAAAAGCATACCTTTTGTAACTTATGGATGTAAGTGTAAAGGATTTAGAAGTAGCCTATCCAAACTATCAAAAGCAGAACAATTGTAGTGGTCATGAAGGAAAATTAGGCAATTAATTGCTAATTGTTTCTACAACGGTTTATCACAAGTGTTATTGTAAACGTTTTCCCTGATTCTGAAAAGATAATGTGATGTTTTTCTCATTCGATACCCCTAGCGGAGATTGGCGATTATGATGACATAGCTGACAGGGAGTTCCTAAGGGTAAACAAGCTCCTGCCTTACCAAGACAAAGTACAGGAGCGAATCATGGAGTTCCACCGCAGGCACCTGTAAGTTGCCCTCCATGCCCCCTGGCAGTGCTACTTTTTCGTTCTATTTCTGATTTGATGTTTAATCATCTCACTTCATCTGTTTAGTTTGTAGCGGGATCTTTTTTCTCTCAGTTTTAGAACATTTGAGTCTGAAATACTCATTAAAACAAGATAAGAAATGTCAGCATTTGGGACAAGAGTTCCTTTAAATGGTAATGGTCATACAGTTAAAAGCAGTCTTAATATTTCTGTGGCTCTCAAAAGAGCCAATTCATTGTTTATTTCAGATGAACATGTTCGTTCAATTTATTGTGAAATAGGCATCAATAAATAAGAAATTTAATTGTTTGACCTAGTTTCCATGCAGTGGCGTGTGTCAGCTCCATTAACCAGCCACACAGTACTAACATTAATATTATATTTCAATATTGAGTCTCACTGCACTGAAAAGTTTTTAACTTACTCCCTGCTTCAACATCCATGTTTTATCAGTAACTCCCATTCTGCTGCCTCATAGTTCATAGTTTTCAATTTTGTGAAACATTACAAATATATGAATGCAAAGCTTGCAAAAATGGCTAGTGACGAAGTTGGTCTCATCTAGTTGGGAAAAACCTTTAAGAATAAAAATCATTTTAAGTTAACATTTTACCATGTTTATAGTAACTGTGTGCACGATGTGATCAATATGCAGACTTGAGGATTGTCAACTTCCTGCTGTGAAGCACTTCCTGTTTGTTATGGGCAATGCACATAATTTGATATGCAGCAGTGTGGTTTTAGTTTTAGTTCTGGTTCACAAAGCACAAAAAGACCGGTTGGGCTGTTGTATTCAGAACCAGTACAGAAGATACCAGAGGATGTAGGGGGTAGTAAAATTGATTACCTTGATTCTCTGAAACTGTAAGAAAAGTTTTTCCTTATTTTCTTATTTTTTTTGCAAGTGCAGACCTCAACATTGCACAAGAAAAATATTTTAGGTCTTGTGTTGTGTTTTTTTTTGTCTGCAAGTTTTTACAGTCTCTGTTGGAGACTATTGGCTATGTTCACACTGCAGCCTGCAGTGGCCCGATTCTAAAACATTTTATTTAAAAATTATTATTTTTTCCCCTTATGTGACGTGTATCTGATCTTTTCATGACAGTCTGAACAACAATGCATATGTGGTTCTGAATCCCATGCGTATCCAATCTTTTAAAAAATGACCTGTATTTGTACAGCCAGGACGCCATACCTCAAACCTGTATGTCGCCCCCTCTTGTGGCCCAATTGTTGCCCAACATGCTAAATTGCCCCCTTGGGAAGCATAATGTTTACTAAACTGTCCAAGAGTGCCCTCTCTGGAGCATATCAAATGTATGTAAAGTGCCTTCTACAGTGGTGACGATGCGCTATATGTGCCCTTTTTTTTCTTACGCCCCTTACCCTCAACATGAATGCATTCTTAAAAAGGATAACTGATCTTGTTTTTTTTTTAACACGTTTTGCTGCATAGCTTATTGAAAATTTTACCATGTAACAGTTCTTGGAATGTTTATGTTATTACAAATGGGCTTGTTTTTATTTGGTTTTAAGCAAATGGCATTCACACTGATGCCAAACACCAATAACATTTTTTTTTTCTCAAGTTAGAGTCACATTTGCTGAAAAAAATTTACAGTTCCCGCTCACCTATCTGTTTGAAAGCACAGTGACCAAAGGGAGCTCTTTTTTCCCCCCCCGGTGTGTTAGGTACCTCTAAAGACTTGCTAATCTGTTCCCTTGGTTGTGGAAGCACAAGCAGAGAGTTCCATGACCTAATCCTTTGCTCTGGCAGGTCTATTAGCCATAAGGCCAGTAGGGCAGGGGAGGGCTCTAAAGAGATTTTAGTGCTTAAAGGATGAGCAAAATTAGAATGAAGTGATGATTGGGTGGATGTGTCTTCCTAATATGCTGTTTGGTTGTAATCATAGGGTTTTAGATCATGCCTGTCAAATCCTCAAAGTTAAAAAGCATTTAAGGTCACACACCTTTGGTATACATATCATGATGCCATCTTGCCTCATTAAGTTATTTATTTGATGGTAAATCTTGACAGTTTCCAGGAGTAGTTATTGTGTCATTTTTAAATTAAACATTTCTTGTGAGGGCAGCAATCTTAATCAGACTGAACCTTTAAACATTGCAGATTATATCTTTAATGAGTTGTTCATTTATTAAAAAAAGATGTTATGTTATTTGATTTAACATCAAAGCTAACAAAATGCTACATAGCAGGAAATAAGTAGTAAATCACTCGTCAGACAACAGTGGTGTAGAAGTAAAGGGAAATAAGAAAGAAGAAACTGCAGTGTAAATGGTCCAGACCAATTATAACAATTGTTAGAAAGCCGTTTATGATTTGGAAGTTTAGTATGCAGAGACTTGAATTTTCATGTCCCTCTTGGGTATTGCAATGTCTGACTGTCCAATAATTGATCCTTCAGGATATTTACATGTCGCACTACTTCCACAAAACAGCACATATAGGTCAAGTTTGTTTGTTTGTTTATTTCAACCCCAGTGGCCAGACTCCTGCCGAATCGGATTTCCAAATCCTAGAGATTGCCCGCAAACTGGAAATGTATGGTATCCGCTTCCACCCAGCAGCTGATCGAGAAGGCACCAAGATTAATTTGGCTGTTGCTCACATGGGGCTCCAGGTTTTTCAGGTGAGTGCTGCTTTGTTGGCAGTTGTCCCCTCTAAAGCATGACCTTACTTGTTTACTGTGTTGCTGACTACTAATTTATACTTTTTGCCTAAATTTCTCTCACAGGGCAATATAAGAATAAACACATTCAATTGGTCCAAGATTCGCAAACTAAGCTTCAAAAGAAAACGTTTTCTTATCAAACTGCACCCAGAAGTCCATGTAAGTTTTCCGAACAAGGTTCTTTTCTTTGCCCTGAAAAAAACCCAGATTCACGGACCCCAATCTATTTTTTACCAAAATTTTTATTTCAGGGCCCTCATCAAGATACACTTGAATTTATGATGGCTAGTCGAGACCAGTGTAAAATCTTTTGGAAAATCTGCGTAGAGTATCACTCATTTTTCCGCCTGTTTGATCAACCGCAACCCAAATCCAAAGCAATCCTCTTCACTCGAGGTTCCTCCTTCCGATACAGGTAATTGACTTTTTTTCTCTTCTCTTTAATCTGAACTTTCCAGCTATGTTGTACCAACCAGCAAAATAAATCTATAATTAAAAACTCTTGTCTGTTAGTGGAAGGACTCAGAAGCAACTTGTTGATTATGTCAGGGAAAACGGATCCAAGAGAACCCCTTACCAAAGGTGTGTAATCACGTTAACTGTTAAGGGAAAAAAAATCTGAAATTTCCCAATGAATCCAAGATAATTTTGTGGCGGTTCTTCTACCATCTTTTGCCCAGGAGGAACAGTAAAATAAGAATGTCTGCTCGCTCCTTCACAACAGATGTGCCAAAACCGGTAAGGGAGCAACTTTAATGTATTTTGTGCAACATGTAAAACAAAATCTGCATTGTAATTGATAAAATAATTCGACATAATTCTTTCATTTTTATCACAATGTATTTATTGATTTTATGTGCAAGGTAAATACAATTACAGCGGTATACCAGTATTTGGTTTTAAAACACTTTGCAGCAAAATTGTATCGCACAAAAACGGGACAGATATTAAACAAGAAAACATATGTACGGAAACATGAACATAAAATATATTTTAAAAAAGGAAACAAATGAGCATCTTCTATTCTGTTTTACTTATTTTTTACTGTGATTCTTCTTGTTCTGTTTGTTCCAGAGCTTGTCATTCAACGATAGTTTCAGGACCCAAGGCTCCCCTTCCTCCTCCTCTGTGTCCTTCCATCCAGCGCATATGACTAGCATTCTTCCGCAAACAAAACTGCCATCCCAACCCCAACCGTTGTCGACACTGTCTCCAGCACCTCCCAAGCAGCAGCAGCTTCACTCCCCTCTGCAAACTACTAGACCTCCCAGCCCTCCGAAGGAAGATCTCATCAAGGCTCCTTCCCCACCACACTACTCTTTTCAAGGTGCCCCAAGCAATCAGGCAGCAGGACACTGCAGCCCCTTGTTTGTGTGTGTAGAGAGTGGCATTTCAAAGTTGCAAGCCTCCAAAAATGGCAATAAGGATAATGAGTGTGGTGGGAGAATGGGAACTGGGTGCTCAGTGGAAGGGGGTGGAGGGAAAATGAAGGGGGTTCTTACACCTGAAGCCTTTCAAGCAGAGATTCTGCGCACAAAACATAATCCCATATTCTCAATTTCCAGCTCTCCGCTGCAGGTCACAGAGGAGTTCATTGATGATGATCCCACTCAAATATCTTTTTATGGTGGAGGGGCGGAGGCCTACTCTTACGGGCTTAATGATAAAGTTGATCAGTTTGATTTTGGGGAGGGTTCAGACCTCAGCAGTAATAGGATAGTTAGTGTGGGGATAGAGGACCTGAATGGCAATGCCAGTCCTTTCCAAGACAGCATTGTTGGTCACTCTGAGACCAGTTCTTTAGTAAATAACCGCTCAGGGTGCAGCTCCTTGGACAATCTTGGGCTGAGCTCTGCAGGAGAATCCATGTCAGTGGGGTTTGGAGGCCCAGATTCATCCTCCCTTCGACTTCCAGGGTCTGACATCCAGTCAGAGGCCAGCTCAATGGTCAACTTCCCAGCATACTCTGTGCGCTCTGAGAGCAGCTCTGCCGTACAGTTCAGTGACCTGGTTGAGCAGCTGGAACAGCTCAGCTACCCACCCACTGCCACCGAGGGCTCGGGGAATGGCAGTTTCGATTCAGACTCAGACTGGGGTTCCGACAGCGTCCTTCCCCCAGAGCAGAATCTATTTTATAATAACAGTCTAACAGGGAGCAGTGGTATAGAGGGCTTTCTCCTTCAGTGCCACAACCTGCAAACCCTGACAGTCGCAGAACCCTCTGGATCCCCTCATATTAAAATGTAAACCCCTCACAGCATTTCAAGCCTTAATGCAGGGCTGTCTAATTACAGAAAAAACAGTTTGTGAGTCTCGTTAGCCCCAACTCCTTTTAGAAATAACACAGGTTTGTTCTTGGTATCAGCAAGTTTTTAGTCACTGATGAGCCCACACAAGTAGTTGCATTATGTAAGACTTACAAGTTTATTTCCCCTCCATAATCCTGTACTCATCTACTTTGAGATATGCCCACACTGATGTTACATCCTTTCATTTTTAACCCTGCTGTGAGGAGGAGGTTTTATGTACTCCTGCAGATATTGCTGTTACAGTCTTTTTAATAGCTTTGACCCTGGATTCTTGAACATCACAACTTTTTTATGAGGACATGTTGAACATACATTTTGATTCCTCCTTGAGCATTTAGCAAAATACGAACATTTTACTGGCTTTTACTTGGGAAGTTTACTACATTTTTCTGCATGTTTTGGCTAATTGCATTTATATGACTAAAATAAATTCAACTTTCTTACAGCAAAAGAAATATGTTAGAAACAGACTTTATCATTTTTGTACTTTTATACACTTATTTTAATCTACACACAAACTAAAAAGAAAGATATCTCTACTTATAAAATGCTTATCAAACACTTCACTGCCGTTATTAATACTAATCAACATTAGTCTACTTCTGCAATGGATTGGCGACTGGTCCGCAGTGTACCCTGCCTCTCACCCATTGTTAGCTTGGATAGGCTTTAGTCCCCATGAACCCACTGGAAATATGCGGTATAGACAATGGATGGATAGATTATTTTACATCTCATCCATTAGATGGCTCTTGGTGTGTGCTTGTTAGTTTTTCAATCAGATACTAATCGACATTGTGCCTTTTATCCATAGTCTTCAATCTCAGGGTTAAATAGAAAATTGTAATCATGTCCATGTGAAGTGATCCAAAAGGGCCTCTTATTTTTAAAACAACAAACCAAAAAAAACAATACATGGATTCCTTTTTTATTTTCACGTCCGTGCCTCACTGACACCTGCTGGCAGAAATAGTTGCCTACAGTCTTGATTGTTGTCCTCCACAGCACATGCAAGGAGACTTATGTTCTGTTTGTGATGCTTGAAAGATTAAGAATAAGCAAACAATTTTTTTAAAATCACCAACTAATGATATTCCTTCCCCCTAGATACATTAAAGAATGTAAACAGTGTGCTAATGAGCCAATAAGTATACTCTGAATAACACATCATATTAAATTAATGTATTATGTTTATGTTTATAGTGATAGTGTATTATACCTTGTTATTCCTCTAAAGAAAGTGAAAATGTAGAGTAAGGTAGCAGTTGTTTTTTTATCATGTTTTATAAAACATGTCTTCCAAAAAAAAGTCTCGTATTGTGGGTTATAATGACATACTGGCAATACAGATACTTTTAAAGCATTTTTCGTAGCTTTTGCCATGTCCATACTCACAGCTTTTGCTGTTGGTTGTCTCTTAAATACCAACATAATTATATTTGATTTATTGCAATGAAATCAAGAGTCCTCCAGGTGACATATATATTTTTCCCTTGTTTTATCATCTGATTTTAAGATATTGATTTAGGAACACTTCTTTATTCACATGCACAGAGCTTTTTTTCCTGAGTTGTTTTTTTTGGCTTTTTTCTTTACAATTGACCTTCCTGAGGTGTCAGAAAGTGTGTTTCCTTTTTCCAGTGTGTCTTGGGACAATTTTGTTTTGATTCCATGTTGAGCATCAGAATTAAACAATTGGCACTGTTCAACTGTTAAACTGACTTTATTACTCAGCTGATGTTTTCTCTTCTTCTTGACAGTCAGCACTTGCAGATTTAAAGCTGGTATCCATGTTGATTCTAGCAATGTCTGTTTTTCTCTAAACGATAGTTTCCTTGTCTGCAGCACTTGTGCCCCACTGCCTTAAAGCACTTAACTTTGATGCTTCTAATGCAGTTTACTTTTATCTCAGGTGTACATTCCTAAGTTGTTTTGGGAGGTTTTTAAAGAATATCTGTTCAGAAAAAATAGATATTTTTAAAATAAGACATTCATTATTTTATTTCTTTATTTTTTAATAAGATGGTGATTAAATATTCACCTGATGCCATTGTCATTTTAAAGGATGGCAAATACTGAAAACGCAACAGAACAGATTTGCATTCTCTCTATAGTCACAAGTATTCAGTGTGATGTGGAACATTATTTAGTTTCAGGTGCCATCCAGAGCCCTTGTAGCATACTGATCTGACGAAGGCTTGGCCTTCATTGCTCCCCCCCTCCCCATTTTATTTTCAATCTTTCAACTAAAGGTCTAATTAATGATTGGCTGACAATTATAATCAGCTAACCGCGCTTAGGTTCCAAGTAATCATCACTTAATCCTGAACATATGTATCTACTAATTCTTAACAAACTGTACTTCATGTTTGTATGTTTTGCTCTTAAGAATAAAGTAATTACTTTTGGGTACCATAATTGTCAGACTTAAAATTTATTTTTCGGATGCAGACTCAAATCAAATGAGCAATAGCTATGTAATTCTTCTTACTAAGACTTTGTGGTGTTGGGTATAATTTTAGTCGTACAGATTGCATAGAAGAAGCTCTTTAAGTGAAGACCCTGTGAATAGTTCAGAGTTTTTATTTGTATTTTTTTTATCATTATTGTGGTTTTAAATGGCACTTTGTGGGTGTGAAAGCATTCTGCTGAAACCATTCCTGATGTCCATCCCTTGCAGAAACAATCTAGGCTTGACCAGCCTTTTTTGTTATTTTGGTGAGTCAGACAACCCCTCTCTAGGTTTCATCTAAACCTCTAAACAATTTATTGCAGAAGGAAAAAATAAATCTGAATGCAGATTGATCTACAACAGGCCATTACAAAGTAGTTTTGTCCTATGTTTGAGGCATGCTGTTGGGGGTTGGGATGGACTTTTACGTAAGATTCCTTAGCCTATTTCCAGCTGAGTGTGTGTATGTGCTCCTTGTTTGGACAGGCCGTATGCCAAGTCATTCCACAGCAAAGACCCGTCCTCCTGCTGTGAGCCCAATGTCCGCTCTTCTTTTTCCCTTCTTCTGTCATTCCCTTCAGTGCACGTCACATAAACTATAAACAGCTATTTGCCCTCCAGTCAGGCCGCATTCCTGATAAGTCGGTGTGCAAGCAATTATTTCCGGGTCGAATAGTGGGACGAAAGTCCCCCCCCCCCCCCCCACCCCCGTAGCCTACCCCAACCCCCCTTTTCCCCCCTGGTAGAAGTGAAAGAGCAGCTGTGGCAATCCATGACTCAGGAACGGGGGGAGAAGGGGGGGGACGACGACAAAGAAGCTTTTTTATTTTATTTTTTGTTTTGCTTGTTCGTTTGTCTCCTCATTTGTTTCATTGAAAAACTCATGGGCAGGACCAGAAGTGGCAGAGCAAGTTCTCTGAAATGGAATCAGGCTTGTGCGCATCACAATTGGGGAGGGATTTAAATTCAATGGCTTTTTGTTTTGTTTTTTAAACAGGATCTATGACTTGTCATATTTACAGCTTGCCTTACATTTCGGAGGTCTTTCAGAGATTGTTGTTTGTGTGTGTGTCTTATTTCTTCTGTAGAGAGCATAACCGTTTAACATTTTCCACAGAAACATCCCGATTAGTACTTAAAACCTTTCCCTTTGTACTTTACCTGTGTCTCAGACGGTTATCTTGTTAAAGCAGGCAATGTGTTAATGTTATTCACTGAAGCATTTTTGAAATTCTATATCATTCCACTGTCCTTTTCTCCCCAGATTCAGTTGTAGACAGCCCACAGCTCTCCCCATTCACCTCCAAGGGTCCCCTCTGCCTGTCGCCCTCCTTCCAGACATCAACCCTCAGCCTGCCAAGCCAGGCTCCATCACCGCTGCAAAGCCCCATCCTGAGCGAGGTGGGCAGCAATGCCAGGCTAGAGGAAGAGGAGGAGGGCAGGAGGAAGGTATACTGCTTGCATGCCACCCTTCCAACCCCCTGCCTCACAACCACAAAATGTGGAACGCACAGACTGTCATTTATTATGGATGGGGGAGATTTAGTTAATGCAGTGGTGGGAGAGTAAGTTTTCTTTGTATTTCTTCACCATGGTAGTGCTTTCAAACTAACATTCAGTTCTATTTTCAGCGATATCCCACTGACAAGGCCTACTTCATTGCCAAAGAGATTCTGACCACAGAACGGACATACCTTAAGGACTTGGAGGTCATCACTGTGGTAAGTTTGCAGTTTGGACAAAATTCCTGAATTTTGATTGCTTGGATTTAAAGTGCCTGCCAAACAACTTTTATTGAAACAGAGTGAAAATAAATATAATAATTTGTCATCTTCATATGCATAAGATGTATGGAGGGAGATCCTCAGAAATACTTTGACGTTTAAAGCATAGTATCGCCTTTACTTCAAAGTGAATTTGCCAAGTTTTTACGATCTGGAGACAGAAACAGATGATCCTACATGTGATAATATGACCGTGCCTACAATATTGCAACTGAAAAGGCAAAAAAATAAAATTCAAAATTTAAATACAATTTATGTTTTATATAGCTCATCTTTTAAAGCTTGTTAAAGTATCTACCTGAAAAAGCTTTCCATATCATCTTTACGTTTTTTCTGTCGAATCTATTGAATGTTGGTGTAACTATTGTAAAATTGATTTGCTGATTTTTTTTTTTTTTCAATTTAAAGTTTATCAATATTTATCAGTAGCCACATAATTTGTTGGACTTAACCAACTCCTCTGGGTTCAGATAGGGAATGATTTAATCTTCCAATCTCTCCTATTACTGTGTGTGTTAATGTTAATGTGCATCAGGCAATTAATTGTCTGTTTGCTGTTCTCAGTGGTTCCGTAGTGCTGTGATCAAAGAAAACGCCATGCCCGAGGGCCTGATGACTCTCCTCTTCTCTAACATTGACCCCATCTACGAATTCCACAGAGGCTTCTTGAAGGAGTTAGACCAGAGGCTGGCTCTCTGGTAGGTGCTCCCTCATGTTTTATGTTGAATTTAATACAATGGCATGGTGACAAATATTTAATATCAAAATGTGTCTATTTCACAGGGAGGGACGCTCAAATGCTCATGTCAAAGGTGACTATCAAAGGATCGGTGATGTGATGCTGAAAAACATGTGTGCCCTTAAGGTAACATTTTATTAGCTCTCTACCAAATGTCTGCTATCTTTCTCACACTGGTTGACATGAATGTTGTCGTGTATTTTTCCCAGGAATTCACCAGCTATCTGCAGAAGCATGATGAGGTGTTAACAGAACTGGAGAAAGCCTCCAAGAGGCTAAAAAAGCTGGAGACGGTATACAAAGAGTTTGAACTGCAAAAGGTGTGCTACCTGCCCCTCAACACATTTCTGCTCAAACCCATCCAGCGCCTCATGCACTACAAGCTCATTCTAGAGAGACTATGCAAGCATTATTCCCCTGGTCACCGTGATTATTACGACTGCAAGGGTGAGTTCTCTAAAACTTATCCTCTTTTTAATGACACACACAGTTTGTGGGAAAACTTGAATTTTTTCATTAGAAATCTTTCATAAGTGGAAGAAAACATCTTTTATGTCTACCTGGACTCCACAGTCAGAGTGTTGTTTTTCTGAGTTTTGACACATTTAGTCTAAATAAAACCAAATCTCTCTTTTCATTTCTTATACTATCCTAGACCACCTTTTGATAGTTTAGAAAAGATCAAAGAAAGATAAAGGACAAATACATTTGTCCATAAAATGCTTCACATTTGTTTTAAGCACAAAAAGAAGAGGTTGATTATTCTCAAAAACTCAGGGGAGAAAAAGTTTTTTTTTAATAGGATATAGATAAACTGATAAGTGTAATTAGATGCTTAAAAGTCAGTAATTTATTTACAATTTTAACTGGCTATTCTTTATTTGTCTTATGTCACAGAGGCTCTGAAGGAAGTGGCAGACATAGCCACGCAGCTTCAGAGCAGTCTTATTCGGCTAGAGAACTTCCAGAAGCTAACTGAGCTGCAGAGAGACTTGATTGGGATTGAGAACTTAACAGCACCAGGCCGGGTGAGTGCACCGAGATAGATTTGAGCATAGGGGGAGTAGAGGAAAGAGTGAAAAGAATGATCTCATATTCTCTTTTTTTCTTTTTCCTTTTTTTTTTAAAGGAGTTCATCCGAGAGGGATGTCTGTACAAGCTCACCAAGAAGGGGCTTCAGCAAAGAATGTTTTTCCTGGTTAGTATGAAACGAGTACTGCTTCGGCTCAGAAAAAAAAAAGTTTTAAAAATAATCAGCTTTTGATGCTTCTGTCATTGTCTTCTCAGTTCTCAGACATGCTCCTCTACACAAGCAAAGGTGTTACAGCAACCAATCAGTTCAAAGTACATGGACAGCTGCCCCTTCATGGCATGATAGTGAGTCTAAAAACCCCTCTTCTGCAAATTATTCCCCCATTTTAGTTTAAATTGGGCCTATTTATGTCGCACACTGACTCTGAAGGTACAGTGTTGAAGCATTGGTACACCATATGAGAATTATCAATTAAATTGGGATGTTAAAACATGTCTACAATGTGTTGAGAAGGGAGGGCATGGGTGTCCTAACTTTTCACATGTCTCTGCTTCACTCCTGGCTGCAGCTCATAGTGCTGGACGCTCCGGTAAGTCCTCTGAGCTCTGCCAGCAGGATACCCAAACCCTCTCCTTCTTCTCCCATGCCTGTGTAGACTAAGCAACAAAAAAAAAAAGGCACACCCAGCAGATTGATTTTTTCAGACACATAAACATGTTGATTTTTCTTTCTCAACCAGTTGTGTGGTCTGATAGTAATGGCAACATTATATCAGCTGGGCATGATTGTGTCTTGCTGTTTTTAAATTCAGTCACTTTTTTTTTTACTGAAAGATTGAAATGGAGAGCTGATTGAAAGAAATGAAGTCTGCCATATTACCCCCAGTTATACAGATGCTGCATTAAAGTTTCTGTGAAAGATGACTGTCAGACTATTCTGATTTGTTTCCCTTCATTATGCAATGTTAATTCATTCATGACGAGCAGTGTAGTGTATATTACTATTAGATGCTTCTAACTGCATGTTACATCTGTTTTTTTTTTTCTTTTCCCTTTTAACTCTCTTCAAGGTCGAAGAAAGTGAAAATGAATGGTCGGTCCCACATTGTTTCACAATTTATTCTGCTCAGAGGACCATTGTGGTGGCCGCCAGGTAAGTTGTAAAAGGAAATATGATGAAAGTTGTATCCTGCACCGCAGCCTGCGTTTTTTTAAAACCCCAATTGTGAAATAGTGGTTATCGTTTTTTAGATTAAGGAGTTAGGAGCACATTTGCTATATCAAAATAAAAAGGCAAAATGCTGATGTAAGATATTACAGTTTATTTTATCCTAAATGCTCTAAAGACAGTCTACACATACTGAGTCTTGGCTCAGTCAAGGAAAAACTGTTTGGTTTAAAAAAATAAAAAAAGCTTTACATACTGTATATTTGGAACAAGCTATCTTATTTGTGCAACAGTTGCATTACTGACTAAGTTTACCACTGAGATGGTTCATAAGGGCTTTATATTCTTGTCACTGTGTCTATTTGGGTTTTCACTACTGTTCATACTTCTAGCTATGAAAACGATAAGTCATCCAAAACTGTATGTTGTCTCTCACTGGTTCTAACGAGAGAGGTTTTTAGAAAAATATAAAACATTCAATGTTTCTTATGTTATTAGTTAAATTCAGAGCTTATGGTATTTGCAGTTTACACTGTTTGTATTTACATTGAACATTACCTCTCAACTTTTTTGATATGCTTGGTTTGCTCTCAATTCCTTCCTGCCAACTTCTTTAAATCAACTTTGATTTCATGGTGTGTTTTTTTTGTGTGTGTGTGTACTTTTCAGCTCGAAAGTGGAGATGGGGAAGTGGATTGAAGACCTGAACATGGCTATTGACATGGCCAAGAAGTCTCAGGAGAAGTCCAGTTTCTTGCTCGACCGTGGCTCGAGTGATCACTCCAACCGTAAGAATATTCTGCTCTCATCAGTGTGCCCGAGTGTTTGAACTGTGTGACTGCTTGTTTTTTCCAAAACCTAGTTAAAAGAAAATTCCTTTAGACACGAGCAAAAGGAATCTGTACACGTGAGCATTCTAAATGTACGGTTAATCCCTCTCCTTCATACAACTTCCTGCACCCCCCTCCCCCCTCCTGCTCCCCCTGCTTCCTCCCTCCTTTAGGATCATCAGATGAGGTTTCTTTGGAACAGGAGTCGGAGGATGATATGAACTCCTCTCGCACTTCACTGGACAAGCAGACGCATCACCGTGCCAACACAACCATGCATGTGTGCTGGCACCGCAACACCAGTGTTTCTATGTCTGATCACAGCCTGGCTGTGGAGGTACTCCTCCTCTGCCCTCACTGACATCCACATTCACTTGTTTGTACACTGAAACGCATATGTTCAAACACTTGCTTAATTTCCACACTCATGTAGAGAAAAAAAAATGTGTGTTTTTATCCTGGACCTTCAACAGTTCACGTCTTTCTTTTAGTTTTTCCCTTCATACCCCTCTTTCTTCTGCCTGTGTTTCCATTGTATCTACTCTTTAGAAAGTGTGATGGCAATTTGTTGCCATCTTCCTTTCCGCTTGATTATTCGCATGTGGAAAAACCTTCTCCATCACTGACCATTTGGCTCGACAGACTTCGAGGATCCTCCTAACGCTCTTCTTCCCCTTAATTTTTCTTCAAAGCTAACATGCTAACACTTTCTCTGCACCTTTTTCCTCCTTTTGTCATTCTTCCCTTCGCCTTCTCAGTTTTCGGCTCTCCGACTGCCTCTCCAGAGCTTCCACCACGTTATCTCCTTGGTCAGGGGCAAAGACCAAACACCATCACACATGTTTGTTGGTACCGAAACCAGAACCTATCTCTCACTGATTATCTGCGCATGAATCAGGTACTATGGCCCAGGGTTAATTGGGGGTATATGTCACCGAGTAAAGACAGAAGAGAATCCAGTTTTTAAAAAAATTTGGGATGCAGATGAAGATACGTTAACTGGCCTTATTTCAGGTTCAAGTTAATAGGGAAACGGTCCTGTTATAAGTTGGAAATCCTTGATTCTTTCAGTTTGTTTTGTTACACTTCAAGCTGTCTGTTTGTGATCATACAAAGTCTGAACCTGTCAGCGTACTCCCCCTGGTAGGTGTGGAAATCCTGTTTGACTGGCTTCAGAGACAGCACTTGGTTGATCTGTAATGCTAAAGTTAGAAGATGATTGAATAAGGCAAAAACAAAAGACAAATCCAAAATACAGACAAAATTAAAAACTCTAAATGTCCAAAGTTAGGATCATTTCAATATGATGTCAAACTTCTGAAAAGAGGAACTTTTGATATAAAAGATGGCTATTTTTGGAAATAAAGCTCTTCAAAAGAATAGAAAAATCCTATTCATAGAATTCCTCCCTAATTTTCAGAGACATCTTTTCAATATAAAGAAAAATAGTGAGGGACTTGGTGACTTCTTTTTCTATTTCTCTCGCAGAAAGATAATTATTTTGTAGGACAGTAAGGTGTTATGCAGAATTCAAAACTGATAGTGAATGTTGCCAGATATCTGTCATACTTGAATGATTAGTGTTTATTTGCAAGTAGGATATTTCAAAGGGGATTAGCCGTTCTGTTGCACAAATGAAACCAGATCTTTTCTGTGCATGCCTGTGCATGATAAAAACTCAACAGCACTTGAACAGCTCAAAACCTCCACAAGTTTATTTCAGAATGTCTGCATGAATCAACACTTGATTTTCCATAATCGTTGTTGACAGAAAAAAAAATACAAATCTAAATTGGTTCTAGTCATCTAGTTAATCGACTCTCATCTCTTTCCATTGGTGCAGAATCAGCTATCAGGGTACCTCCTGAGGAAATTCAAGAACAGCAATGGCTGGCAGAAACTCTGGGTTGTTTTCACCAACTTCTGCTTGTTCTTCTACAAAACTCACCAGGTTAGCCAAGATGTCCTAATTTATTTCTATCATTGCCGCTTGAGTGTGAAAATGTTTAACTGAGGTGCGAGTGTTTTGTTGGTTGCAGGATGACTTCCCGCTGGCTAGTCTCCCACTCCTTGGCTACACGGTCAGCACCCCCGAGGAATCGGACAGCATCCATAAGGAGTACGTCTTCAAGCTTCAGTTCAAGTCCCACGTGTACTTTTTCAGGGCAGAAAGCGAGTACACCTTTGAAAGGTGGGTTCGTTTTCAGACGGTTAAGAAATATCCCACTGGTCCAATTTTAAGTCGCGTGGTCGTGAACAGTGTGTTTTCTCCTCGCAGATGGATGGAGGTGATCAAGAGTGCTGCCAGCACTACAGGACGGATCAGCCTGCTCATACCTAAAGGTGTTCCCATGGAGATCAATGGAAACTGAAAGGAGCATTACAAACCCTGAGGCTGGGCCTCTCGGTTCTAAGTGAAGTGAGGACTTGAGTAAAAACAGCTGGGGATTGAATGGTACTGCCACTTGAATGGTTAACATTTCACTGCTTTGTTCTAATTTGGGATTTTTTTTTTCCTTCTATGGTGGCATAAATGATTAAATGAACATTTATTTCAGTGTAAGGGATTTAACGAAAGGGAGATGTGTTCATTATTTTCAGTTTGTTTTTTGCATGTGTAGTTTTCAGATGGGTTGTTTGCATACACAGATGGGACCAACTACAACTCAAAGGGCTTAAATCCAGGCTTCTTGAAGGACTTGAGCACAGTGCAACTAATGCGTTAGTGCGTATATTACTGTGATACAGATGGACTACAGAATGTCGAACATGAAGGTACAACCAGTATGTGCTCTGCTCATTGTTGTTAAATGGAGTTAAGAGATGTGTTTGTACGACGGAGGTGAACAGAAATCCAGAAATTAAAGTTGGGAGATTATATGGAATTTATGCTGCTGTCCAGACAAGTGCTTCAGAGTTTGTTTGTTTTTGTGTGTGTGTGTTGGTGGTGGTGGCGGGCGGGGGGGGGGGGGGGGGGGG